CAAAATATTGTACAAAATATTGTACAAAATATTGTACAAAATATTGTACAAAATATTGTACAAAATATTGTACAAAATATTGTACAAAATATTGTACAAAATATTGTACAAAATATTGTACAAAATATTGAACAAGATATTTTGTACAAAATATTGTACAAAATATTGAACAAAATATTGTACAAGATATTTTACAAAATGTACAAAATATTGTACATTAAATAAATATTTCAGAGGGAATTCAAAACAAAAGTTGAATAAAAATTTGTTTTCTTTCTTTCAAAATTTAAATTGAAAATTCTCAAATAATACTATTATTTACAAAAAGATAGATATTTCCATGAATGCCTCAAATAATCTTTTTAAAAGTCTTTTTTGAATTTTGACCGGAGGTAAGAGTGAACACTTTTTTACGATCATGATCTTCGATCTCCTCTATTGTCCACCGATCTAACTTGATCGTTGGAATTCCTAAAAAATTTGATATTTAAATGATAATTCTTTAATCTGCATGATCGATTATTATTAGATTAGATTTAGAAAATATATTAGATAAAAGTTAATAACAATTAATTACTTTTATCGGTTCGTTTTGTGTAGAATAATAAAGAGAAGATTTAGGCTATGAAAAGGTACTTGAAAGGAATTGAACAATTAGACTCATATTTTATATTTCTTATATATTTGTAGCCTGGTGTTGTAGACCTTAGATATTTCAAACTCAATACTCTCAAAAAGTTAACGTTTAAAATTTCTAAGGTTTATGATTTAAATATTAAAAAATATAAAAATTACCTTTCGATATTTTTCACGCAATAATCACCATCTAGAGTATTAGCATTAATCCAAGGAATTACAGAGCTCACCCTAATTATATTATTAATAATAATAATATTAATAATATTAATAGTAATAATAATAATAATAATAATGATAATAATAATAATAATTATAGTAATAATAATAATAATAATAATAGTAATAATAATAATAATAATAATTATAATCGGTTCTGCCGTTTTGACGTTTGTTTAATACAATTGGACAGACGGACAAGCCAAGTATATATATGTAGATTGTAGAAGATAAAGAAAAACGATTCCTAAATATCCTGTGAATGCTGGATAAATATATTTTGTTTAGTTATTTATCCTCTAAATACTATCTGTAATTACATAGTATAGACGATATATAGATATTTAGATTGCATGAAAATTACGAAACTTCCTAGAAAGCAAAAAGGAAGTGTTAGCGAAAAATGATAAGGTTCCACAATTGAAAACCTATAATTTCCCATTGAGTTGTTGGAGCCTTAGAGGAACAAAAAAATTGAATAGAAATGAGAATGGTGTCGTTCTTTTGTAATTTATCAGGACTTTTGTTGTACTACCCTTTTCCAATTTACATTCGCTTTATCATGGAAAAGAAAATAACTATATATTTTTTCAAAATATTTATTTGATTAATCTTTTGTAGCTAATCTCTATTTACCCCTTTCATAATAATTTTCTTTAAAACTTTTGGGGAGATTTTCTTTTTTATATTTTATTAAAATATTTACCTTGAATAAACGCCCGGCCATTGTGGTCTGGCGCACTCTAGCCCCCAGCTAACAACACCGGTCAACACAGATCTGCCTTCTACCTGGAATATTCTCTTTTGAAGGGACTGCAACTGCAATTCCAAGTAACCCCCATTTAAAGAAATGCATGCCATATGGATAATCGCTTGAAGTTACAACTTACAATCATAAAAAAAAATTCGAGAAAAGACTTTCTTTAATTTTATTTTAAAATTTTTGACCAAAAGTCAGTTTAAAAAATTTATCAATTTAGACTTCCTAAGGCATTGTAGACTAAACTTGAATAGAAAAGGGGCCAGGGGGGATATTAAATAGGCTTGTAAGAGTTTTTCTTTCGCTGATGGGTGATATTAAATGAATTGACACACTATAGTTTCAGTAGAAGTAAATATTTCTATCTACTGTTAGCGCAGATTAAAGGATTCATATCTCTAATTGGATGATGAGAGATAGATAGAAAGATATTGTTTCAGAATAGACTACAATTTACAAACACATGACTAAACCCTGATTGGATCAGGCGCCAATGGAATCGGCATATAAGTGTGGACAGAGCTATAGATTAAAGGGCTATAGGTTTATCGACTATAAACTACTAGGTAAACCCATTTTCTTCAAAAGAAGCTTTAATCGATATTTTGTGAAAATATTGCGGCATTCTCTACCTGGACTGTCATTGGTCCACCGCTATCTCCATAGCAAGCATCTGAACTCTTAGCAGCTGCGCATAACATCTTATCCGTGATTTCTCTACAAAAAAATACTTCAAACTTTTTTTTCTACTTACGTGAGCGAATTTGGTCTAATTATCAAAAAAAAATGAGAATTTCCAAATAAAATTTTGTATGTGCTTTTCTATATATTCTAACGGCTGCGGTGCTACACATCTATTTAAACAAAGAGATATTGAGTCTTTGCCACAAACTCAGAGTTTCTAATACCTATTTATTTACAACCCATTGTGTGGTAGACCTTAGTTGTTTCAAACTATGAATTAAGTTATATTATCTAAGTTTTATATATATATCGAAGGCTTACACAATCAGGTTGCAAAGATATAGAAATTATGTGACCTATACCTAGTAGAGTAGTGGTTGATACAATTTGACTGCTCCATGATGTCCAAGTAAACCATCTGCAGGGTGGTGGACTGGGTTTTAATACTAAAATCTGTTACCCCCCAACCAGACACTAAACCTCTAGATAAATAGATTTATGTTAACAGATACTTATCTTCATAAATTAATTTAGGGGCCTTTTTGGTCAAATAATTTAGAATAAGAACAAGCTAATCAGAGATTTTAAAAGAACTATAAGATGTAATTTAAAGTGACTGTTTACTTTTAACAATGCTGAGAGGGAATACGGAATTTTCCCCTGGGATTAGGCGGCTAAACCCTTTAACACTTTCGGAATGAAATTAATAAAATGCGTGAATGAAAAACATAGATTAACTCTAAACATGAATCTTCTGTCTTCTTCCGTCTGTACCACGTGATCAGTATACTGCACTGCCATTGGCTGAAGTTCTGGTGAAGTTTTACGGACTATACGGACTATATGTAATAATATTATCAATTATATCTATTGAAAATGCAAAATAAAAATCAAAAAATTATAATATGAGCAAATCTGAGATTCTCAGGCTCCTGAGGGATATAATCGTTTTCAGATTGGTGCGTATTTGCTGAATTTGATCCGTTTAAACTTACTACTTTTATTCAAAATGAATTTTCGTATAATTTGACACAGTTTTATTTCAATTTCTCTTGACAGGAACATCAAATAGTTGTCTTTTATGTAGCGCCTGAGATTCTCAGATTTCATCCTATACCCCCTTTAATTTTTCCTGTACAGTCGCTTTAAGTTGCATAAGTTGCATTTAATAGCAAAAAATAAGTTTCCCGGTAAAATCAACTTAGTGTGGGTAAACGGCGCAGTGCGAATAACCTGGGCAAGGCTGGGTTCCCAAGCTAATATATATATATACTACCTTGAGCCTGGGTTGACCGGCTGGTCAGGTTCAGGTAAACACACAGGTCGGATCCAACCATACTAAAAAATCAGCATATTTCACGTCAAACTTAAAAAATTGCTTTTAAGATTAATCACGATGGACTCGTGTCAATTTGAATTTGAACCGGACCGGCCTTAGTGACACGCGGCAAGTACCGGCCCGACTCTATCCTCGGCTTGGTTTCAACTTTGATGGCGCGGCAAGACCTATTATTTGAACTTTCCAACTAGTTTAGTTTAGTATATTTCTTATATGTTTTCTGTCATAAATCCTTTTATTGAAGAGCTTTTGAAAAGAACATAAATCTTTTGAATTTTGAAAAGTAAGTGCGTGAATTAAAGCTAGAGGAGCTATGAGGCCACACAGTCGTACCAGTAATGTTGCATAGATTTGACCTTTTCCTTCTCACTAGTTTACATCGATATAACAGATTTTAAAATTAAAAAATAACAATTAAATGATAAAAATTACATGAAAACTCTTATATATTTTAGAATAGAATTACAAGACAGAGAGAGAGCATGTACTACGCTGTCTACGCGTAACTCGTTTGGGCTTCTGCCTCCGCTTATTGTGAACAAAAAACACATAAATCTTAAAAAGACGACATCTAGTGTCCTATCTGTTATTTTAATTAATCTTTGTGTATTACACATGTGTGATTAGGAATCTATTCTTTTAATGATAGGCTCCAATAATTTCTTTTAATAATAACTTCCAATACAAGTTATAAAGGCAGTATAAGGCTTATTTAAATGGAATTCAAAAATATGTACTGTAAAGTTTTGAAAATCTGTTTATTTTGATAATTATAAAAAAATACTCGCAAAAAAACTGAATAAAAAGAAAAACTATTTAAGTGTTCAACAAAAAAATGATAAGATGAAAAACTGTACTTACAGATTTGAAGTCGACTGGCCTGTTTAGTTGGATGATAGCAAAATCAAAATTAAAGAGTGCACCTGCACACATCACCAATTTAAAACAAGAAAAATAAATAAGCGTAATTTTCAGTGATCCTTCTTTTTAAGAGATACTTATACTTGCTCGATTCAAAACCTTTATTTATTGCGACTCTTCTTCCGCATTGAGACTCAGATACGATTTAGATTGTGGTGTAACTCTTTCAATGGTGGGTTTCTTGTAATTACGTCTACAGGAATAGAATTTAATTAATTGGAGTGAGCTCGCTCAACTACCTTCACACCGATTCAAATCCTCATGAATCTTTAACTTTGAATCGGTGATTCAAGATTGAATTAATTAAATTCGGTCCAAGACTCCAACGGGAAAAAATGAGAAAAAGGCAAGATAAATAAAAAACGTTTGAAAATCATGAAAAACGTTTTTTTTTCAATTATTACGTTAGATTGGTTTGCCTTGTCTAAATTCAGGATGTAAAAGAACACTGCTTACTCCATACCTTTCACTTATACTTTATTGTTCTTATAAAACTTATTATCATTATTATCATAATTATCCTTAATATAATTATTGTTATTATACCTGAATTATCAGAGGCCAAATTTAAAGAATTTGAGACGTGGCTCAAATATGATTGGTTTCACTTAAATTGTATTCAATGTTTCAAGATTTAAGTCGGCGCTTAATTGAAACCAGATATTGGCGGATTTGAGACGCGGCTCAAACTCATTAAATTCGGACTCTGAACAATCCCTTGAAAAGCTAACCTGGGTCCAATCATGTTCTCCTAGCACTACAAATAGATTCCCTGGCAGACGTCTAGTGGCAGATTCCAAGCAGTGAGCAGCTGGACAAAAATAATTTATAAAATATTAATTTACTTTAAAAAAAAACATTTAAACACGGTTGATGCAAAAAGTTTATAATTTTTTAAGACTCTGGAAAGTTCGTAAGATCGAAAATTTAGAAATAAAAATGAACCGACTAACCTGATAAAACATATCTAAAAATGAACCGACTAGCCTGATAAAACATATCTAAAAATGAACCGACTAACCTGATAAAACATATCTAAAAATGAACCGATTAACCTGATAAAACATATCTAAAAATGAACCGATTAACCTGATAAAACATACCTAAAAATGAACCGACTTACCTGATAAAACATATCTAAAAATGAACCGATTAACCTGATAAAACATAACTAAAAATGAACCGACTAACTTGATAAAACATATCTAAAAATGAACCGACTAACCTGATAAAACATATCTGCTATTTATAAGTGTTCCGCCACAAAAAGGCTAAAAAATATTTGTCTATTAATTTAATTCTAATAATAGATTAGTTTTTAAACCACTTTTATAAAAAAGTCATGATACTGTAAAAAGCAGTGTAAAATAATGAACAAATACCACTTAAAAAATTGGATGTAAGAATTTTTAAAGAATTAAATCGATAAAGTATAAATGTATCTACAAGTTTTTAGAACAATTTAACTGAAGAAACTGTGTTAAATACTTTGAAAAAACATTTTTTAAAACATCCTGATAAAAATTTCTGTTTATATTTATGTTCAAATACAATGATATAATTATAATAACAATAAATTTATTTAAAAAAAAAATAAACACCCGATGGTAAAAAAATTTCAAGGGAGAAAGTTTTATAAGTAATTATTGAAAAAATTAAAATTAAAAAAGATTTCATGAAAAAATTTATGCATAGAGAGAACCAGAAAACTCTGTAATAGGAAGACGACTTTAGGACTCAAGTTATGATTTTTAATTGTGCAATCTATATATAAATTTGGCTTGTCTGTTTGTTTGTTTGTTTGTTTGTTTGTTTGTATCCAATAAACGTCAAAACGGCTGAACCGATCGGGCCCAAATTTTTTGTGGGACATCTAGGGACCCCAGGGAAGGTTTTTGAAAAATCAAAATTTCAAATATTTGTCTCTATCAAAATTCGATCGTCATTAAATTTTTAAAAATTTTGAAAATCCGCGAAATTTTTTGTGAAAATCTGCGAATTATTTTTGTTTTGTTTTACGATGTACACAAAGAGAACATGTTCACAACTAATTTAGGAGATGGGCGCGAAGCGCCCTCTAAGGCTAGAAAGAAGGGCGCGAAGCGCCTTGAATTTCTAGTCTATATATAAATTTGGCTTGTCTGTCTGTCTGTTTGTTTTTCTGTTTGTATCCAATAAACGTCAAAACGGCTGAACCGATCGGGCCCAAATTTTTTGTGGGACATCTAGGGACCCCAGGGAAGGTTTATGAAAAATCAAAATTTCAAATATTTGTCTCCATCAAAATTCGATCGTCATTAAATTTTTAAAAATTTTGAAAATCCGCGAAATTTTTTGTGAAAATCTGCGAATTATTTTTGTTTTGTTTTACGATGTACACAAAGAGAACATGTTCACAACTAATTTAGAAGATGGGCGCGAAGCGCCCTCTAAGGCTAGTGAATTAGAAACACTGACATTGAACATTGTAAACAGACCCATTTCACTTGATAATTGATCTTAAAAGTTACCAGTAAAACTATTTGCAATGCAACAACATCAAATAATCATTACTTTTATGTTGTCTTCCTTTTCTACAGTATTCTGGTTCTCACAGTAAATATTTTTATAAAAATACCTTGCTGCTTGCTCTACCAAGTAGTCCTGCTTGCCATGGAATACCACCTAAACAATAATGTAATTAAAATGAAAAAAAAAAAACATATAAAAATATGTTTCCATGTGAAAGGAACTGAAGGCGTAAACCTCCATGCCACAGATGGTAATGCCCTTTGTGTTTCGGGAATTGTCATCTATCTTTATAGGGTCAACCAAAATTAAGCTTACAGTCCGTTTAAAGTGCATAATTAAATCATTGAGTACAGTATTTAGGTCTGTTGTACAGTTAACAACAGTACCCAGGTCTGCTGAACAATTAACAACTGTACCTGGATCTGCTGTAGAATGAACAACTGTACCTAGGGCTTCTGTACAATTAACAACAGTACCCAGGTCTGCTGTACAATCAACAGCTGTACCTAGATCTGATGTACAATTAACAACTGTACCTTGATCTGCTTTACATTTAACAACTGTACCTAGGTCTGCTGTACAATTAACAACAGTACCCAGGTCTGCTGTACAATCAACAGCTGTACCTAGATCTGATGTACAATTAACAACTGTACCTTGATCTGCTGTACATTTAACAACTGTACCTAGGTCTGCTGTACAATTAACAATTGTACCTAGCTCTGCTGTACAATTAACAACTGTCCCTGGGTCTGCTGTACAATTAATAACTGTACCTGGGTCTACTGTACAATTAATAACTGTACCATGGTCTGCTGTACAATTAATAACTGTACCTGGGTCTGCTGTACAATTAACTCCGTGTGGACAGATAATTCTACCATCTACAGTTGGCAGTACACCACACTCACACCCACTAAACAGAATGTACACATGCTCAAAACGTAGTTTTCAGAGCTTTTTTATATATGTACAGATATTTTGAGCCAAGTTGGAAAGTTTTGTATATATAAAAAGTTCATTTATTAGATCGACCCCCACCACCACTTTATACACATACATCAAAGCAGTTTGTGTTTAATCTTCCTGGCAGAAACAATCTCAAGAATTAATTATTTTCTTAAAACATTTTTTAAAAAGTGAAAATTTGCAAATTATACTTTTAAAACAAATCAACTCAAGTTAAATGTAAATATTACCCATTCTTTAAATGGGCACATTAGAGGAAATAAATCAATAAAAACCAAAAAATTCATTCTCAACATTTTATAATTATAAAAATATTGACGTTCGACCTAAGATATACATTTTGTTAAACTGTGTTAAAAAAAATTAAACTGATTTTTAAAACTGGACTAGAAGCCATGATTTATCAAAACAAAATATACAATAATTTTTGGGAAAGCATTAATATAGCAATTATATATTATTATATGCTTGTGTGTATTTGCGTTTCGGGTTAAATGCATTTCAAAGTTTTGGGCTAAAACATCTTTTCTCTAGGTTTCTGGTATACATATTTCTCGAATTAGCAAGTGATATAGACAGTTTCTAACGGAGTTGGAAGAAAATGTCATCGGGTTAAAAGAAGATTGATGATCAAGAGACAAGAGATAATATACAAGGGTGATATGAAAGTATTTAACACGATATAGTGAAAAGAGGGATACGAACTTCTTAAATAGCGATTTCTTGAACCCAGCTTTGTTTAACTTTCTTTATAAAATTTAGAATCTTAAAACCAAGCTAAAAACATTTCAGTTGATCCAAGTTCCCCAATCAAAAATATAGTCAAATCGGTGAAGGGGTTCACGAGAATTATAATCGTACATATACACAGACAAACGAATAAACAAAATTTAATACTTAATACATTTGGGCACTAACTTCTCTCCTTCATATCCTGATCGAGTTCGTTTCCCTTCTGTTTATTTGACGGTCTATTTTTTTTAATAATCTTTTTTGTTTGATTATTTTCTTCTGATTGTTTAACATTTTTTATTATTAATTTTGATGGTTATTATATCGTTAGAACGAAGGTCTGGGTTTACGAGGGTCAACCCAGACAGAAATATATTTTCAATAAAATGTGGAACTAACATCTACTTTATTTACTTTACAGAGGTTTGGTCCATCACCACCCTGTTCTTAAAAGATTTAAACTTTGAACCGTTAAGTAATTCTTAATACTTAAAGTTCAACTAGTTCGACTGAATGGGCTGGGAAACTAAAAACCTACCGAACCAGAACATAGCTCTACATTTTAGGTAACATTTGTTTTATTTGCAGATCTTTGATACTCTGCGATTTAAAGGTTGTAAGCGCTCACGCAGAAATCTGCGATTTAAAGGTTGTAAGCGCTCACGCAGAAATCGGTAAGAATGGTAGCAATTACTTGATAAAAACTATAGATCTCTGTACATTGTACATGTCTGTACTCTGTAGCTATAAAAGCAAAAGTGAGTTAGAGCTGTAAAACCAAGCCCCAAGGCTTTGCGACACTTCAAAGTCGATCCTGTCTTTTTGGGGAATTCAATAATAAAAGAAAAAAAAATTCACAAAATTTTACATTGTCATTTTATGTTATGTCAAGTCTACAGTTGTTACAAGAGTAAGGAGGGCGCGAAGCACCTTAACTTGATATTCCCCTACTTGAAACACGAGGTGTTAACAGAAGATAGACAATAAAAAATATAAGAGTTGATTCAGCACAGTTATTCATTTTTTCTAAAGTTTCACGCTAGTTTAACTCATTGTAAATCTACATTATAATACATTGCGTGCTCTACTAAATTCGTACTGGTCTGACCCTATCCTCGTTCTATATATTTCAGTAAAAGTACGACATTTAAAAAGTTATTTTCATAAATAACTGAAAGACAATATTTTTATATTATCTCATTTTACTCTGGTTCGCCGTGGCACATAAAAGAAATAATATTCTATTTCTCCAGAGCCTCTTAATATATTCTTAAAAAAGAATGGAAGGCTATTTTCAGTACTTAAACCTTTGTCCAAGTTTAGGACTGGCAATCGGTTTTATTAAAGGGACTGTTAGCGTAAATTCAAGGGATCCTCCAGGCAGAGATGCTAATGCCTGATTCATAAAGGCATCCTTAAAACCATAAGTGTTAAATTCTGATAATTTCTATATTTTTCCTGCAGTAGAAATGCGCAAGTCACTTTTGTATAAAAATCACGATCGAAAAATAATCATATTTTTTAATTATAAACATTAATATTTAATTCATACTTGATCAGACAACGCTTTTAAGTTGGGAATTGGGTCGTTGCAAAAATGTGCAAAACTGTTTCAAGGATATTTTTAGATATTAATAAATATATTTGCATGAATATTGAAAAGGGCGTCCCCAAAAAATGGGATTACGTAAAATTGAGTTTTACGGCGTCGTCTGTGATACACGCGGCATTACGAATTTGTCCAGATTTCGATCTTGTTATTTATTAAGAATTCACACTTTTTAATGTTTGTTTAGAAACCTTGTCTGGGTTATATATAAAGATATATTATTTTGCAGGATCAACTTTTCTTACTTTCAATAAAAAGACTTTTTTGGAATTATCAAATTCCTTAACCTATTGCTCCAATCTCAACATAAAAAAGATGTTCATTTTGTGTGGAATTTTTGTTAAATGTTTAATTGTCACAAAGAACCCTATCTATGGGTATTAAGTAATAATTTTAGGTAAAGTGTCCTTCGTTGCCCGTGGAATTTCAAGAAATTTTAAATTTTGCTTTGCCTGTCTCCCCGGTTACACATGCGTTCCCCCAAAAATTTCAGCCTGTTTGGTCTAGCCGTTTAGTCAGTTATAGTGTTGTATGAAAATTTTGTCTGGTTAATAATTGTCAACAGAATATTTTTTATGTATTCCTTATTTATGTTTGTTTACAAATATTAATTTTTGATGAATGAAAATGTAAACAAACACGCCAGTTGTGTTGTGAATCCGGAGCTTAGAGGTCGGTATAAACATGTTTACTTCTTTATTCTTGGCGTAAAAATGAGCCTTAAACTTTAATGAGCCAAAACTTTAATGTTTCACGTGAAAAGTCGTAAAATGTTATTATCTCTGATTAGAATCTTTATTTCTATCTTTGTGGATTGCCGGAGATAATTGAGATTTGAGATTTAAAAAGTTTTCTTAAATTCTTAATAGAATCCTTAGAATCTTTATTTCTTTAAATTGTTGAAGTTAATTGAGGTTTAAAACATTTGATTCTCTTAAATAGAATCCTTAGAATCCTTATTTCTTGGTTTTCTTAAATTTAACATTATAATAATTTGTTTGAGCTAAATACAGTTTTAAGAGTTACGTTTTTACTTAAAGCTAATGATTTTTATATTTAGCGACGACTGAATTGAATTGGATTGATTGGATTGAATTGAATTGAGCTGAATTGAAACTGAAAGACGGGACATTCTGGTTTGGAGCCTGTTCTTTGATTGCATCTTTATTGCCAGTTCATCTCTTCATCTGTGGTTCTGCCCGGAAAAGTAAGCATAAACCTTTATTTAAGTTTACTTGAAATTTGCCTTTTTTTTGGAAGTTTCCGCAACCCATGAAATTTGCCTTTTCGGAAGTTTCTGCAACTCAATTCTTTTGCAACTAATGAAATTTGCCTTCTTGGAAGTTTCAGCAATTCATTCCATTTCGCAACGTTTTGCCACATTTTGCAACGTTATTGCAACTTTTGCAGCGATATCTTTAATTTTTGCAACGTTATTGCAACCTTTCTTATTTATTGCAACTTTTACATTGCAATTATTGGCAAAATGCTTTAAGTTCGCCAATTTTATTCATTGCATTTATTATGCAAAAGTTTTACCATGCAATTTATTACATGGTGGTTTTAATTTGAGAGATACAGTGGTCTTCATAATTACCGAGTTTTTTCTCAAGAGTATTACTTTTAAAAGTACAGTGGTCCTCATAATTACCGAGTCACCAGTGCATTAGTTAATGCTAATAAAATGGTTAAATAGCCATAATAATTTATTGATTAGCACCATTATTGCATTCCAATTAAAGTAAACAGAGTTGAGTTTGGTTAATACCATGGTTTAAGCTTTAAACTTATGAATTATAAGCTTAACTTTAGCTTCTTTACAGCTGTAACTATTGGACCTTTTATGGGACCCTTATGGCTGTAAACTTTTAAATGCTTGTTTAACCTAACTTTTGTTTAGTTCGGAAGAGTCTTGCGAATCTATCAGTGCCACAGAGCTCTCTATTTTCAAGAGTGGAATATATTTGTATTTAAAGTAATAAATTATTGTTCAGTTAATCTTGTTTCATTTTAAAACCACATATACAGAATCACTTTAAATTTCCTGCTACTTCAGACAGGGTATTATTTTTCTGCAACATATAGCCTCAGAATATATATTCTGAGGTTATAGCTTACATAAATATTTACATGTATTATATATATTGTATTATAATTAACAGATGATTTTTTTAATTTTTATTTCAAATCTACTTAATTTAATTTTTAGGTTTCGTTTCTTCAATATAAGATTCCTTATCCCTCCCTACCACTTTTGTAAAAAGATATTGTGTCATCAGTTTTTATAAAAAAGAGCCACACGTGCCATTATTCCTATTTATGCAACCAGGGACCTGCAACCACACGTTCCATTATTTCTATTTATGCAACCAGGGATCTGAAACCACACGTGCCATTATTTCTATTTATGCAACCAGGGACCTGCAACCACACGTGCCATTATTCCTATTTATGCAACCAGGGACCTGCAACCACACGTGTTATTATTCCTATTTATGCAACCAGGGACCTGCAACCACACGTGCCGTTATTCCTATTTATGCAACCAGGGACCTGCAACCACACGTGTTATTATTCCTATTTATGCAACCAGGGACCTGCAACCACACGTGTTATTATTCCTATTTATGCAACCAGGGACCTGCAACCACACGTGCCATTATTCCTATTTATGCAACCAGGGACCTGCAACCACACGTGCCATTATTTCTATTTATGCAACCAGGGACCTGCAACCACACGTGCCATTATTCCTATTTATGCAACCAGGGACCTGCAACCACACGTGCCATTATTCCTATTTATGCAACCAGGGACCTGCAACCACACGTGCCATTATTCCTATTTATGCAACCAGGGACCTGCAAGCACACGTGTTATTATTCCTATTTATGCAACCAGGGACCTGCAACCACACGTGCCATTATTCCTATTTATGCAACCACACGTGCCATTATTTCTATTTATGCAACCAGCGACCTGCAACTACACGTGCCATTATTTCTATTTATGCAACCAGGGACCTTCAACCACACGTGCCATTATTTCTATTTATGCAACTAGTCACTGCAGCCACACGTACCATTATTTCTATTTATGCAATTAAGGCACTTTCTGTACTCCAGGGTGTCCCAACAAACATTGGAATCAAGTGAAAATGATTTTGCCCTTAGAGTTGAGAGATAAGTGTTTTGCATGCAAATAGTTCAACCCGGTATAGAGTTAAAATTGTTAAATAACCCAAAGTTGTTTCAAGATTGGAAATCAAAGATGGTCTATCATTCTTTACGATAAAAAAAAAACTTTTAAGTCAGCCAAAGAAATTGAGTTTTTGCCACAAATTCAGATTTTTTTTATATATGGTCCCTGATGTCGTAGACCTTGGACATTTCAAACTAGTAATTCTGTTAGCCATAAGTAAGTTTGAAATATCAGAGGTAAACACTTAATAATTGAATAATGGAGACCCTTAGTACTGATTGCTGAAAGTGAATATCCAGTGGGGAAACTTTTAATTATCCTGTTAATCCTTTCTTTTAAATAGAGATGGGTATCATTCTTCTGAACGAACGAATTTTTGAACGATGGTCTATTTCAGAAAAATAACGAACGATGGACGAACTATGGACGAATGATGGACGAACTATGGACGAACGACTTGGATCGTTCAGGGAAATGAAAAAATTATTGTTTTACGCTGAACAAACTATTTTTTTCCAACAAACTTTTGAAAAAACTATCGTTTTTTTACCTGAACTATTGACTTTATCAAACGAACGATTTTACTGAAATCTACGCAAAAAGGAAACTCGGGAGAATAGAGAACTGTTTTCAGCTTAGTTTAAAAGATATCTATTGAAATAGAGACTTTAAGAGAGAGTTTCCAGACAAGGCTGAGTTCCCAAGCTAGTTTATCAGATAGTGTAAAGAGGGAACTAGTTAAATAATTATTTAAATATCAAAAGTCCAAAATTTTAATATAGATTTTACCTTTTTGGTGAATTTGCTGTTGTGGAAATAGTTTCAGAAGAGGTTAATGGTATTGTTGTTGAAGTTGATGTTGATATTGTTGTTGATGATGTTGATGTTGTTGTTGCTGTTGTCGTCGTCATTGGTGTATTAGTTGAAGAAAAGTTAAAGGAATCACTCTGAGAACCTAAAATAATCTTTCTAAAGAATATTTCAAAATAATAAAAAAAATTAAGAATGATGATTTGGTAAATAACAAAGACATCAAAATGGTGGTGCTACGAAAATGATAATAAAAAAATGATAATAGTAACAATGATAATGAATATATTTTAATGATAACAATTGTTATTTGTTAATGATGACACTGTAAATAAGTATACTTTTAACGTTTATAATTGTATTCATTATGTAGCGAATATCGTAGCAATCCTAATATTTGTTAACCTGAACATACCTTGGTATATTATGTTTTATATTGTCTGTAAATCTAAATGCGCTTAGCATTAACTACGCAAAATTGTAATAGGATTAGCCTAGTCTAGCTACGTCTGTAAATCCGTCAAAACTTGTATTGTGATTAACTTACAACTACGTCAGTGATTAGATTAACTACGCTTATATATATCTGCTCTAATCTTGTAAATACGTACATTAAACTGAACATGTAACATAGATATCTAAATACACATTAGTTGGAATATACTCTGCTTTGATTACGGTGAAAGAAGTAATTTGTTCCTTGTTGAAACATACAAGCTGACAATGTCCTTTGGTTTGACATTGATAGTTACATGCTTATGTCCGTGTTGACATTGAAGCCTATGAGATTGTGCCCATTGGTTTGGCATTGATAGTTTGGAGATTGTGTCCGTGTTGACATTGAAGCCTAAGCCTTGTTTGGCATTGATAGTTTACGAGTTGCACCTGCACTGATTCTGCTATGATAATGATGATAAAATAATTAGAAAGTTAAAGAATCACTGTGAGCAGTGACAACCATAAAACTTCAAAATAGGAAGACGACATTTACGCATTCTTATGTTTATTTGATGCTGCGTATGTATTGACTGCCAACTACTGTGTTTTGTGTTAGTGTGACCTTTAAAAATTATACTTTCATAACTTTATGGTTCTTACTGTAAATATAATAATTCAAAACTATTTAGTAAATAGGACTCAATATGTTTGTATAAATGGTATTTTTTCTAAAGAAAAAACAATTTTATGTGGTGTTCCTCAGGGAAGTGTTCTTGGGCCCCTACTTTTTCTCATATACATAAACGATTTGCCTTTAGCAACGTCTTTTTTTACTAATCTATTTGCTGATGACACTAGTTTTCTAAAATCATCTCCACATATCGAAACTTTAGTAATTGATGCGAACTTTGAACTAAAAAAGGCAGCTACATGGTTTCAGGCAAACCGTTTAACACTAAATGTTTCCAAAACAAAGTTTATGATATTTAGGAATAAAAATATGCATTTTAATCCTGAGAACTGCAAATTAAAAATTGGAAATGAGATACTAGAAAGAATAGGAACTAACTGTACAAAGAAATATTTCAAATTTGTTGGACTCAAAATTGATGAATTTTTAAATTGGGACTATCAAATTGAACATGTTTCCAATAAGATTGCTAGCTCAATTTTTGCTCTGAATCAGATTAAAAACATTTTACCGTTAAACATTCGTCTACTAGTCTATAATGCACTTGTAAGACCACATATTGAGTATGGAATTATAACATGGGGGGGGTGTAAAAAATGCTAAACTACAGAAAATCAAGTCTTTGCAAAAAAGGGCTATTAGAGCAGTAAATAATAGTTCATTTAAGGCACATTCAGATCCAATATTTTTCAGATTAGAACTCCTAAATCTTGATGATACATATAAACTAGGTGTTCTATCTTTTATGCATAAATACTTTTATGAAAACCTTCCAGCTTCCTTCCAGGATATGTTTAATTCTTTAGCAGAACCAAATAGAACAAAATCATATAAACTTGAGCGAGTTCTCTTTAAAACCCTAGAAAGTTTTCCCTCTGCCTTATTTCCAAAAATATGGAATTCTATTGAATTAGAGCTTAAAGAAACTAAATCTGCAAAATCGTTCAAAAGAAAAGTCGCCAAGATCTATTTAGATAGTTATGCAAATTATATCTGTAAAAAAAAAACTGTGTATCATGTGGATAAACTTAGTCTTTACTATCTTCTTCACCCTGTAGTTCATAAACATGATTCTAATAACTTATGTTACCCTCTGTTCCAACCCTTACGCTGAGTATACTCCCTTTTCTTTATACTCCCTAACCTCCTCCTTACCTTTTACCTGATTTATTATTATTCTTATGTTTAAAATGTACAATTTACATTGTTTTTATCTGCAATTCTCATTCGTTTATAGTGGGCCAACCAATTAAAACAATCTACTCTGGTTAGGCGGGTCTAAACTACATAGTAAATTGTGATTTTTTATTTGTATTATCTCGTGCTTTGTAGTTGAATAAAAATATGAAATGAATAATGATAATAAGAATAATTATGATAATTTAATAAAAATCATTATGACATTTTAATAAAAATATTAATGATAATGATTATGATATTTTATTATCATTATCAATCATTATATTTTATTGAAAATATCAAAAACAAAAATATGAATCATTATAATAATTTGCTAAAATATTAATAATAATAATAATGTGAATCATTATGATATTTTAATACAAATATTGATAATAATAATATGAAATAATTATGATATTTTGTTAACAATATCAAAAATAATAATATAAATCATCATGAAAACTTATAAAAAACATTTACAATAATATGAATCATAATAATAATTTAACAAAAATATTATCAATAATAATATAAATCATTATGATAGTTAAAAAAAAATATTAATAACAATATAAATCATCATGATAATTTCACAAAATATTCTAAAAATAAAATGAATCATTATAAAAATAACCTGAATTTTGTTGAGGCAGACATAATATCTTACAAGACCAACCATCTAGCTTTCCAGCCCGCCCATTCTTACCACTCTAGTAAATATTAAATTTAAACATGAACATGAACATGAAATATGAACATGAACATAAGAACATGACATAAAATATCTTACCTTAAAAATAATCTTGATTGTCTGATCCCCCGTAAACTTCAAGCTAGCAGTTTGCCGACCACAATATTTCTTTTCAAACTCAACCTTTCCTCCACTCCCTTTCATTATCCTATAAAGATAGTTCAATTCTTATCTCTTCTCTTTAATATCCACAATAATATGTATATAAACCATTATTTACGAAAATTCCACGGGCGACGCCAGGTACATAAGCTTGTCACATATTTGTAGCTCCCTATACCTGAGCTAATCAGTAATCAGCACCCTATACCTGAAATAATCAGCTAGTATACCTGAGAAATTAGCTAGTATAAATGAGATAATCAGCTAGTATACCTGAGATAACCAGCTAGTATACCTGAGATAATCAGTTAGTATACCTGAGATAATCAGCTTGTATACCTGAGATAATCAGCAAGTATACCTGAGATAATTAGCTAGTATACCTGAGATAATCAGCTAGAATACTTGAGATAATCAGCTAGTATACCAGAGATAATCAGCTAGTATACTTGAGATAATCAGATAGTATACCTGAGATAATCAGCTAGTATACCTGAGATAATATACCCAGCTAGTATACCTGAGATAATCAGCTAGTATACCTAATATAATCAGCTAGTATACCTGAGATAATCAGCTAGTATACCTAATATAATCAGCTAGTATACCTGAGATAATCAGTTAGTATACCTAATATAATCAGCAAGTATACCTGAGATAATCAGCTAGTATACCTGAGATAATCAGCAAGTATACCTGAGATAATCAGCTAGTATACTTAAGATAATTAGCTAGCATACCTAAGATAATCAGCTAGTATACCTGAGGTAATCAGCTAGTATACCTGAGATAATCAGCTAGTATACCTGAGATAATCAGCTAGTATACCTAATATAATCAGCTAGTATACCTGAGGTAATCAGCTAGTATACTTGAGATAATCATTTAGTATACCTAATATAATCAACTAGTATACCTGAGATAACCAGCAAGAATACCTGAGATAATCAGTTAGTATACTTGAGATAATCAGCTATTATATCTGAGATAATCATATAGTTTACCTAAGATAATCAGCGAGCATACTTGAGATAATCAGCTAGTATACCTGAGATCATCAGCTAGTATACCTAAGATAATCAGATATTATACCTGAGATAATCATATAGTTTACCTAAGATAATCAGCTAGTATACCTGAGATAATCAGTTAGTATACCTATGATAATCAGCTAGTATACCTGAGATAATCAGCTAGTATACCTGAGGTAATCAGCTAGTATACCTGAGATAATCAGCTAGTATACCTGAGGTAATCAGCTATTATACCTGAGATTATCAGCTAGTATACCTGAGGTAATTAGCTAGTTTACCTGAGAAAATCAGCTAGTATACATGAGATAATCAGCTAGTATATCTGAGATAATTAGCTAGTATACCTGAGATAATCAGCTAGTATACTTGAGAAAATCAGCTAGTATACCTGAGATAATCAGCTAGTATACCTGAGATAATCAGCTAGTTTACCTGAGATAATCAGCTAGTATACCTGAGATACTCAGCTAGTATACCTGAGATAATCAGCTAGTATACCTGAGATAATCAGCTAGTATACCTGAGATAATCAGCTAGTATACCTGAAATAATCAGCTAGTATACTTGAGATAATCAGCAAGTATACCTGAGATTGTGGAGCCCCTGATCTGTATACTGCAGTACTGTGTGTACTGCAGCCTGGTTCTAGAACAATCCACCTTACTATATAAACTCATTGTATATTCTATGAAATACAGTATTCTACAGTAGCTTGTCTTGTTCACTTGACAGTAGTTCTACAAGATAACCATCAAGTATACCTGAGATAATCAGCTAGTTTACCTGAGATAATCAGGTAGTATACCTGAGATAATCAGGTAGTATACCTGAGATAATAAGCAAGTGTATCAGCTAGTATACCTGAGATAATTAGGTAGTATACCTGAGATAATCAGCTAGTATACCTGAGATAATCAGCTAGTATACCTGAGATAATCAGTTAGTATACATGAGATAATCAGCTAGTATACCTGGGATAATCAGCTAGTATACCTGAGATAATCAGCTAGTATACCTGAGATAATCAGCTAGTATACCTGAGATAATCAGCTAGTATACCTGAGAAAATCAGCAAGTATACCTGAGATAATCAGCTAGTATATCTGAGATAATCAGCAAGTATACCTGGGACAACCAGCAAGCATACCTGAGATAATCAGCTAGTATACCTGAGATAATCAGCTAGTATACCTGAGATAATCTGCAAGTATACTTAATAATCAGCTAGTATACCTGAGATAATCAGCTAGTATAACTAATATAATCAGCTAGTATACCTGAGATAATCTGCTCCACTGCATCTATCCCCTCCTCCTCTCCCCTCCCTCGTCTTCATGTGACAAACTACACTCAGATCACAAGAGATTGGTTTGATCACCCATTTACACCTTAAAGGAATTGTCAACGTAATTTTAAATGACCCTCCATGTACAGAGTTACATATTAACAACGGTATCTTAGTAACAATGACGGAGATATCGTCGTTTTCCAATTATTCCATTTTCAATATGTTGTTCACTCAAAGGTTTAAAGGTTTTCAGTCTATATTGGGCATCTAACTCTTTTAATACAGTGTTATTTAAAATTTCGTCAACATTTCTTTAATAGAATATATATTTTTGATTATAAAAATTTATATAAACTGAGCAACATGAAACTAAAACTTAACTTTTAAAAAAAACATCGTTCGTCACTTAATCCCAAAAATTAGACCCCCAGGGTTTTTCTGAATAACGTACAGGGTGACCCACAAAAAATAAGACTTCAGAGACGATTGTACAGAATTTATACTGTCTGTTTTCTTATAATTATGATTTCCTTCAAGGCAACTGAAAACTGTTTCTTTCTTGGCCTAATCGTTTATTAAGCCATAAAAAGATGATATTCAAGGCATAATACTTAATTAAACCTTAGAAATCGTCAAATTTAAAGAGTTTTAGGTCGTCTTTACAATCTCATATTTTGTAATAACCCTGATATCTTAATATAGTTCCTACCTGTAATTACTATCATAAGAATATTTTCCATAGCTACGATGAGATCTGGTAAATACAATTATATCACATTCATGTAAAAATAGACTTCAATTAAGAAGGGATTTGAGAAACAAAATCCAATTTGTTTTTACATTCTTTAACATTTTTTTTTCATTCATGCTTTTTTGCTTGTTAGAACTGATAGATGTGACACATAGTCTCAAAATATTTTTTTAATTTTTTGGAAATCCGCCAGCGAAAACAAAAAAAATCTGTGAATTTTTTTAAATTGTCGAAATGTGACAAAAAAAATGTTAAACTTGAATTATTTTGTAAAAAAAGGGGGGGACGAACAACCTGAATAACTTTAATGGAAAATTTATGATTTATGATTATTATAACTATAAAAAAATGAATTTAGGAATATCTTGAATGAGATTTTTTTCCTTGCTAGTGTTCCCTCCCCAGCTCGCAATGACATTGCTGTTCCTAAACATTCAGTGTCCTCCGCGCCACTAAATAATAAATATTTTTAAAAAAATCTTTATTCATTTAGTTTGTTTAACACAACATATTAACAGTAAACACAACCGGTTCAGCATTTTCTTTATTCCTTAAAAAGTTATTTTAAAATTAACAGAACCAGAATCTTCCGACAAAATGTCTCCGCTATTTACTCAACTTCGGACCTCTGAAGTTCATGGATTCATCATTTAAAAAGGTATTCTGTAAAAGTTAACTTTTATGAGAGTGCAAACGTTTTGAATTTTTTTTTTAAGTTTTGGAGCATTTCATAAAAGTTCAAAAATCTTTAAAGTTTAAGAAACAAATCTTGCAATTGCAAATTTTCCATTTTTTTGCCAAGGTAACTTTTAAGAATAAGAGTAATATTAATATTTAGAAATTTAGAATCAGATAACCACATCTTTTATACCCTTCTGCAAAAAGTAAATTTTTCGTCTATCAAAATGATAAAGAACTTATTCCCCATGAATAATTTCAAAATAATTATTCTTATGGTAAAACATCATTATAAGTTTGTTATGCCAACTTAAAAATTTCATTTTATCTTTTCTAAAAGTTTATAAGATCAAAGTTTAAGAAATTTCTACTATAAGATCCCATCTTAACCATCTTCCTAAAATTTTATTATAATTGTCGTCTGTCGTCTAGTCCGAACCGTTTCCAATAGTTTTCTAAAATTGTTCATGGAATTCTTCAAATAAATCACCTCATGGATTCTGAAGGAAATGCAATTTGGCGGGAATCTCTCGGGTCGTCTTCGTTCCAATCGTCTTCCAACTCTCCACCCAGGGATCTCAAAACTAAAAACAATATTTTTGCACTTTACATTTTTTGTGACATTTCGTCTTAAAGGAGGTGGTAGCTGTTTGGCCAGTACACTTTTTGTAATTGTTTTTATCCTAAAACTATGGTCGTACTTTAAATAAAACTTTTCATTTTGGGTAAAACTACAAATAATATGATAAGGGTGTCAAATAAGTATTTTTAGTTTTTTGAATGAGGGCCAAAATCTCCAGTTTAGAATTTTAAAATTAAGAAATGCTTGATTTTACAATTAAGATGCATTTCTTTTTTACATTTAAAAAAAAATAAGAATATGTTCGGTTGGATCAGAAAATAATCGACAATTTTAATATAAAAAAAGTGTTTGTCCGCTAGAGTCGCGCAGACATTGCGTTATATTACCTCATTTTTGCTTTAACATTTCACTTTGATTCTACTTCACTCGGCCAAGAAAAAGAAAAGAGTAAGAAACATTGAGACTATGAGACAACGTGCGTACAAATGTACTAAAACTGAATTTATTTTTGATTTAATTTTGATGAAATATCTGTTAAAATAAGTTCTGAGCTTCCTTTTTATTTGAATTCAAAATTCACAAAGAAATACATGTCAAGTTTCTCCCTTGGTTTTCTGGGAAGTAAGACGAGTAAGATGTACAGGGTGTCCCAATAAACATGGGAATTCAATGACGAATTCGATATCGTCTTTTCAAATAATTCTTTGATTTAGTATAGTGATACCTACTGAGAAAGCTGTAAACTTTATTTGTTTGTTTATGTTTTGACTGCATACGGTTGTACTTGTACAACAAGGAAATTGCAGTATACAAACAGAGTAAACTTGTCCTTCTTCACTGTTCATCTTGCGGAGACATTATAGACACATCATTACAGTCTTCTACCCTTTTCATAAAACAAACTCTAGCAGGCATAATAATATTATGGCTTTTGAAATTAGGTATTACAATGCTAATTCATAACTAAGACGATATCGTATTCGTCACTGAATTCCCATGTTTTTTGGAACACCCTGTATATGATTTGTGAATTTAAGGGCTATGTTGCAGGGATGGCCGTTTATTAAGGAGTTATTCTTATTATTGAAATATGTCTGATTTCAAGGAAAAGTTCTTTAATGATTGCAATCAAAAAAATTTAGTTGAAGGTTTGTCGAATTTTACAGCTATTTTTAAGATTAACATCCTAGTCAATTTTAATTTAAAAAAGGTTTAGAGTCTTTGCCCCTCGAAAATGTCAACACCTCTTTTTAACCTTCTTCTGGTAGTTCATAAAAAACAGGATTAGAAAACCAAAGGATTGATTGTATTCGAGTCACAACGAGACATTTGTCTGATCAGGTATGTATGAATATGATACAGCTGGTGTCCCACATCATATTAGATCGTTTATAGCTTTAAATTGAGATTTTCGGGACTTCTCAGAAAATTTAAAAAAGAATGAATCATTAAAGATTGTACAAGGCTAATATATAAGGTTGCATACAGAATTATTATATGTACGTATTTTGTTGACAATCCAATATAACATAATATTATAATTATTTTCAATTATTGTTTAATCTACATGTAAGCGATTTACAGATTTATGCTGCCGAGACAATGAAAGAAATTGTCAGAATTCATTACGTCTTTAAATATCCTTTTTAAAGTTAAAATTAATTAATCGGATATATGCCACTCTTTAAATCAAAGGTCTCTTGAATTTAAGTATATCTAGTGAATCTACATATCCGTTGTCAGATGTTAACCATCAATGGAGGTAAATGGCATAATTAATCACATTTTAATCTAGAAAAACGACGGTATCTTCTATGTTTTATCACATAAAGAGTCTCTTAGTGAATCGGATGTGCTCCTCTTTTCAAACAAGGGATCACTTGAATTTTCAACGGCGGAAAACGTTAAATTAGATTGTTTAATTACCCCACATAAATTTTGTCTTTGTTCCAAAATTCATATGGGGGGTAAAGAGGACTACTGCCCAACCCTAAATATACTACCGACAATCTAATTGTGATTTCAACTGTCGTCAATTCAAATCACGTAAACAATCTCATTAAATTAAAAGGTACACTTGTATAAAGTCAGTTGACCCAATTTGAATTTTGACAAGAGTTTTAATTCCTTAAAATTATATTGTTTAATGTTTACCTAGGAGAAGAAAAATGAAATGTAAACATGTTTGCTTCATATTCACCCTGGGTTTAGGTCTGTACTGAACTAGGTTAAAGAAAAGATAGTAAAATATAATTTAACATCTAGGGGATTTCCAAACACTTCTACGACAGCCCCCCCCCCTCGGATAATACAGGGGGGAGGGACTTCCTTTTAAATTTAATTTTTATATTTTATAATGAATTGAAACGTTAAGCTGTGGAAAATTTGATTATTAAAATTAGAAAAAAATATCTAGCCCTGTAAAAAAATGGGCTTTAAAACCGTCGAAGTTCAACAGGGATGAAAAAAATGTTGAAAAGTTCTATCCTCTATCCTCAGTTCAGAATTAATATTTTTTTTAATGTTTGAAATTAGTTGAAAAAATGAAGACAAAGACCACCCCTGTATACCAAGAAGTAATGTCTGCGTATGGCTTACAGTTAGACGTTACGCAATGCGTATTCAGGGATTTCCTTGAATTATACTGCACCTGCATTCAAGCAATTTGTATTTTGTTCGTTTTTATTCTTCAGAAACCGTTATATTTATTCAAATCAAAATGCAAATCTGACAAAAAATAATAATAATGATAAATATAATATCAGAAGTTTTAATGTATAAAAAGCGTCTTAGGACTTTTCGACAGATAACCCACAAATAAGCAAATAGATCGTAAGAATCTTTTCATTATAAATTTGTAAACCCTTGTAATAGTTATTTATCATTATTCATTTCATTTTTTTTAGGAAATAAAGAGTTTTCTGCATTATCGATTTTGATTTGAGGGTTATTCCTTGTCTATCTGTTCATCGTCAGAATCTTGTTCCTTAGCGACAACAATTATGTATATCTTAAATGGCGACTATTTCTAACTGTGCTGTACTACGTAACATAATTTGCTTTAATAATTCATGGATATAGATAACAACGTAGGAATTGTAAGTACGTGTATTAATTCAACTGTAACCTATAAACTTTAAATACACAAAAAGTTTAAATCAGAACTCCGCTTTGATTACTGTGTTATAGAGTAATTGTACCCCCGTTGAGTATTTGGGTTGAGAGCTTACCTCATGCAGTATAGGGGAAAGATCAATTAATAGCTTGTTTGATAGCCAATACTTGTGTCCCTGTGTGACATTTAGAGCCAAAGTAATAGCTTGTTGATAGCTACGCTTGTGTCCCTGTGTGGCATTAGAGCCGAAGTAACAGCTTGGTGATAGTTACGCTTGTGTCCCAATGTGGCATTTAGAGCCGAAGTAATAGCTTGTTGATAGCCATGCTTGTGTCCCTGTGTGGCATTTAGAGCCGAATTGGTAGCTTGTTTGATAGCTACGCTTGTGTCCCTTTGTGGCATTTAGAGCCGAATAAATAGCTTGTTTGATAGCTACACTTGTGTCCCTTTGTGGCATTTAGAGCCAAAGGAATAGCTTGTTGATAGCTGCACTTGCGTGGCATTCAGAGCCGAATAAATAGCTTGTTTTATAGCTTCACTTTTGTCCATGTGTGACATTTAGACTATGAGTAATAGCTAGATTGATACGCTACACTTGTGTCCCTGTGTGACATTTAGAGACTGAGTTATAGCTTGTTGATAGCTAAGCTTGTGTCCCTGTGTGGCATTTAGAGCCAGGTTGGTTGTGTCCTGGTTGACTCAGATAGTGGACGGTTTGTGCCTGAACTGATACAGTTTGGGACAAAGTTAAAAGCATTTACTACATTCATATGATACTAAAATTGAGTGGCACGTGGGGGTAAAAATCAATTATCTCGTTTCTAGCTTTATGGTCGGTTGATAATGCAATTTTTCAACAGCATTCAAGCATTACTAATCAATAAATTTTTGGTTTTAACTTCTAGGCTAGTTATCCTCTGAAGTGAAACTGACTAGCGTATTAAAGCAACAGAGAATAGAAACTGGAGAAAACTGTCAGAATTTAACATTTTCAGATGGAAAATCAACTATCTCTCTCATTGTTAATTTATAAAGGTTTGAAGTTTACCGTTGTGAATCCAACATGCCACTCTATATATTGGGGTTCCTAGAAATCATGTCTACTGTCCCTTAGCACAGCTTAAAATATAAAAATCAAAATTAAGTTTTCCTTGCGTTACTAACTTACTTCCTTTCCTGCAGCAGGATATTACATCATTTTTCTATTAATCAAACCGACCATGCAACACAGAGAATATACATATTATCAATTTATCTCAACATAATTACTAACAATGAATATACAGGGTGTCCCACGAAACATGACAATAGGAAGACGAATTGAAAGTCGTCTTTGGTATTTGAATTTATTTGTGACATTTAGTCTTCTATCTACTTTAACATGTATGATTCTTGAAACAATTATCACATAAATCTCCTAGCCCTGGCATTTCCAAAAAGTGGTCTGCGTTTTTTGTGATTTCAATATTACCGGAGATATGAAGAGTTTTGTTCAGATTTCAATTTTGTTAATTAAAAGCAAAATTGCCGAAATCTGAACGAAATTCTTCATATCTCGGGCAACATTGAAAGCACAAAAAAGGCAGACCACATTTTGGAAATGGCAGGACAAGGGAAATTTTGTGATTATTATCTATAGAAATTTACTTCTAAAATCAGGTTGACAAATAAACGCAGCAAATTATATAAAAAATCAAGACGACATTCAAGTCGTCCTGCATACTGTCATGTTTCGTGGGACACCCTGTAGTTCAAATATAGACTTAGTTACATATATCAATAAAACGAAGACGACTTTAGATTTTAATTTTAAATTTACTTGTGAACTTTAACCGATTTCTTGTTTTTCCCCCTCCTTATGAAATCACGTTCTTTGATTATATTTCTCTATAGCTCAAAAGGGATATTTTTAGCCGCCATTGTTAAAAAATCTTGCATGTTCTTAAAATACCAGTTTTCTTTTTTATCCAAAATGCTGCTTTTTGTTGATTTCATCATATTGCATTAATAGATCTTCTTATCAATACAAACATACCCTAGATTTTCATCAGCTGATCCTAAAATTTGGGGTTGGTTTAGTTGAAATAAACTGTCTAGAACTCGGTTGTCAGCAGTGCTTAGGATCCATTTAATTTTGATGCGGATCCGGATCCTGGATCTGCACTGGAAAAAAATAGATCCAAATCCGGATCCAGGTAATTTCTTTAAGATTTACTAAATTTTTTAAATTTTTTGTTTTTAACTTTTTTCGCTTATTTTTATCCTAAAACTTGATGAACCATTAAGAAATTAGTAATTTCTATAATCTCTCTTTTTTCAGAAGTTCAGATTTGGGGTTTAGGAGCAAACATTTTTTTTCAGTTTTTAGTTGACATTTTACCCCTTGGATCCGGACCCAGGAAGCCAAAATCTTGCGGATCCAACGGATCCGGATCCTAAGCACTGGCTGTTAGGTTTTTATACAGTAGCTGTTCATTATTCATGTGTCAAAGATTAACTTTTCTCTCTCGATTTTGCGCGTTTTTTAAATCGACTGTAATAACCCGAATAATTCGGGATTATATTAAACTGTTCGATTTGTTCATTTTTCTCATTTTAATAAACAGGAGTTTTTTTCCGACAAGTTATCAATTTGAAATGTGACGCCGTTATAGCGCTGGGCCCAGAAATTGTCGTAACCTAAGCTAACCCTAGAGATCGGCTATCACTTTGTCAATTCGATAAATGTGGCCGCAGCGCTCGGCCCAGGAATTGCCTTAACCTAACGTCCTAACCTCGCATATCGGCTTTCACTTGATAATGCGGTGCCGCATTCGGCCCCCTAGCCTATCCTAGCCGCAGCGCTTGACCCAGACTTAACCAACCTACAAAAGTTGAACATCCGACCTAAAAATTTGGGTAGGACAGCGAGATCCTTAGGGTAGCACTGTCAACTACACACTGACAAGACAAGTTCCTGCGTAGGTCGGATTAACAAAACAGACCTACAGTGTAGGTACGAAGTAACGTAGGACGGATATGCTGTAGGACCAAAGTAACATTACCGAAATTATTACTTTAAAAAATACCGAAATAATTACACAACTGGCACCTTTAATCCTTCGACTGTGCATAAACTTCTATTTTAATATTGTGGTGGAATAATATAATGATGCTGGGTGGGGAGGGGCTAATATAGGTTATATACATAGTTTCGTCTATTTCTAAAATACAGTTACAGAGAATTAAATAAATCGGTGGTCTTACATTTCTTTCTGCCTCGTGAACATCAAAGAGATTTATCGGCTACTATGTTAAAATATAAAACTTTAAATACTGGTTAAACACGTAGTTTGGGATTATATACCTACAGTTAATTAACAGTTAATTGAACATAAAAATCACATTTTTTAAATGGCGTAGCGTACTAGTGAAATAATGCTCACGTTTCAATGAATAATTATTAATTTTCTTTTATCACTAAATCAGCTCATGTTTGTTTATATTATGCAATATCTAGTTTAATCCACTGGAATATTGATGTTTAAGCTTCTATGCCCGCTGGAGAACCCTCCTCTTCTCCATTTACAATCTCTTCTCCAGGCGAAGTCGGGTTGACGAATTCTTCCATATTATTGGATTGATCAGTTTCAACACCATTGATTTCAGTAAGCTTTCCTGCGTTTTCCTCAATGCCATTGGTTCCCGCATTTTCTTCTGTATTCACCGTGTTATTAACAGCTTCCGCTTTATCAGTTGGACTTCTAGCGGACTCAGTTGTTCTCTTAGATTTATCTTCTTTAGGTTTTCTACCCAGCGTGCCCCCGGCTGGTTTCTTCAGAGCAGCGGCTCTGGCAGCAGCTACTCGACTGGCAGCTGCACTGGGAGCAGTTGATCTTGTAAACCCGGCTCTAGGAGCTCCAGAAGCTGATGATGGTTTGGAGGAAATGGTGGTAGATAGATTAGCAGGTGCGTCTAGAATAAAAAAATATTTAATAATAATAAAAAAATTGAAGTATATATTTTGAAAGCTAATTCAGGTAGAACTGATTTAACTAGTCTTGGGCTTTTCATTCGAGATTGTTTTTCAAGACAATCAAGGTTTCCTGGAAATACCTGAGAAGTCAAAAATTAAGTTCACCTTTTCCACACTGTTCGAAATGTTGACATAAATTTTAACATTTTCAGTTTTTTAAATAGAAGTATTTCGTACAATGAAGAAATTGTATGTGTACAGTCGTCTCCATAATCCAATTTCATGGTTAATCGTTTTGGTTTGTTTTTAAAACTTTTGATAAAAATTTCAAGGTTTTAAAATTGTCTGAAGTTAACGTTTGCCTTATTATTTTTATCCTTGTCACGTTCCTTTATGGTTCCTTTAGGATCCTTTATGGTTCCTTTTTGGATCTTTTTTGGTTCCTTTTTGGATCCTTTTTGGTTCCTTTTAGGATCCTTTTTGGATCCTTTTTGGTTCCTTTTTGGTTCATTTTTGGATCCTTTTTAGTTCCTTTTTGCTCCTTTTTGGTTCCTTTTTGCTCCTTTTTGGTTCCTTTTTGCTCCTTTTTGGTTCCTTTTTGGATCCTTTTTGGTTACTTTTTGGATCCTTTGTATCCTTTTTGGATACTTTTTGGATCTTTTTTAGTTCCTTTTTGGATCCTTTTTGGTTACTTTTTGGATCCTTTGTTTCCTTTTTGGATACTTTTTGGTTCCATTCTGAATCCTTTTTGGGTACTTTTATGCCAATTTTTTTAGTCAGGGCCAACATTTGGCATACTGTAAAAAAGAAAATTAGAATACACAAATTTGAAAACTATTGCCTCTCTGAAGCTATGCCAAATGTTGAATATGAAAGAGAATATAGGCAAAAAATGAAGAAAAAACGAGCCGACTTAGTTCACGACACTACTCTAACATTACCTTTGGTTTGTGGTGTAGCTGTTGGTCTGGTAAAGGATGGAACTGCAGGGCGGGGTGTAGGTCGGACACGTGGAGGAGGAGCGGCTGCAGGTTCTCTGGGTTTAGGTCGACCTACACCAGGTTTACTTCCAGCAAGACGAGATCCAGCTGGTTTGGTCGTGTCTCCAGGTTTGGTGATATCTCCGGGTTTGGTGATATCTCCGGGTTTTGTGGTAACTCCAGGTTTTGGTCTGGATAGAGTTGAACCTGGAGTAGGTCTGAGTACCCCTGATGTAGGTCTAGAGGAACCAGGACGGGAACCAGTAGTCGCTGCTCCAGTACCAACCTAGATAAAAAGGTTTTATGAAAAAAATTCATATATTTTAGGAAAAATGAATAATGAAACCTATCTGAAAATTTTATTTCTTTACAGGGACTGTTAGAGTAATTTCAAGTGACCCTCCCTACAAAGCGGACAATGCTAAATTTACAATGGTACCCTCGAAACCGTTTTATCATCAAAAATGTGGAAATATCGTCGATCCCTAGATTAAATTGTGTTTCATTATGACAATTCCTATACTTCTTAAGTTCTTACACCACGAAGTGCAAAAGAAACCACAATCGAAATTTACAAACATTATCTTATTTAAACTTAATCAGACAAAGCTTTTAAGGTAACCGATGTGAATCGTACATGGAAGGTCACTTGAAATTACGCTTACATTGCCTTACAAATAAAAGAAGGTCCGGAAATGTATACGAATGAATTCTGATATAGATTTTTGGACTTAAAGCGTATTTTTATGAAAAATAAAAGCGGCTATATAATTTACTACTAGAGTTAGTTTCGTTAGTTAGGAGACAAAATTAAGAAAATAACATTTTTATGTAACATATTTGGTACACTCCTTGGATGGAATATTAGGGGGTGTATACATTTTAAATCCTTTCCTCCCTCTTTAAGAATGTCAGAACTTTTATTGTAGAACAAATGATTTTGAATCTTGCCTACTCCCTGCAGCTATGCCAGAAACTAAACCTAGCTTGAGAACCCTGCAGCTATGCCAGAAACTAAACCTAGCTTGAGAACCCTGCAGCTATGCCAGAACCTAAACCTAGCTTGAGAACCCTGCAGGTTGCAGCTATGCCAGAACCTAAAACAAGCTTGAGAACCCTGCAGCTATGCTAGAACCCAAACCTAACTTGAGAACCCTTCAGCTGTACCAGAACCTAAACCTAGATTGAGAACCCTGCAGCTATGCCAGAACCTAAACCTAGCTTGAGAACCCTGCTGCTATGCCAGAACCTAAACCTAGCTTGAAAACCCTGCAGGCTGCAGCTATGCCAGAACCTAAACCTAGCGTGAGAACCCTGCAGCTAGGCCAGAACCTAAACCTAGCTTGAGAACCCTGCAGCTATGCCAGAACCTAAACTTTCTTTTCTCAATTAAAGTAAACTTTTCAAATTTAGAATTTGTAAACCAAGCTATGAACATTTCCTTGGTTCTGCCAATTTTCCCGATCTTAATTTGTGGCAAATAGGTCAAGCGGTGCATGAGTTGTGATCGAACATACAAAAAGAACAGACGTCCAAACAGTCGGTACTACTTTATATACATAGATATTAGATTCTTTAGCTGTTAGATGCATACATATGAAATTCACAATTTTTCAGTTAAACATTTAAAGGTTTATGCATTTTTATTTTTTGGTAAAAATTATATTTTGAGATAAAAAAGGTAGAAGAATCTTATTTTCAGATCTAATGATTATTAAGTTTGGCAACCTAGGTGCAAATTGAATTTGGAGAGATCTGTATATTAACCTTTTAATGATCTAGTGACCCTGTAATTATGTGTACTTTGTTTATATTCATAAACGTCAAAACTGCTGAACCGATCAGGCCCAAATTTTGTGTGGGGCCTCACATGACCCAAGGGAAGGTTTATGGATGATTAAAATATCAAAATTTCAAATTTAGTCTCAAACAAAATTCGATTTTTTGATAAAATCTTTGAACTTTTTTTTGTTGATTTACAATGTATAACTAAAAGAAAATGTTCACAATTGACATAGAAGATGGGCACGAAGCGCCCCTGGAAGCCTATTTATGTATACTTTGCTTGTTTGCTTTTTTTATCCAAAAGTAAAAACGGCTGAACCGATTTGACCCAATCTTCTTTTAGGCAACTCGCATGATCCCAAGGCACGTCTATAAGTATGCTCAAAATTACCAAAAATTTTATTTTCGTAAAACTCTGAAAATACAAGAAAAAGTTACTAATTGAAACTGAAAAGAAAATACTCACAGACACAGCCCCAATTTAAATTTGAAATATAAGATAGCGCGAAGCACTCTGAAAGCCTAGTAACACTATAGTGTATATTTCTAGTGAATGAATACTGAAAATATAATCTATGATGCAGATCGGATCAGGATAAGATCTACCAAATTAGTAAATAGGATCAGAACATAATACCGCCTAATCTCAAAACAAAGAATCGAAAAGAAAACGCCAGGGCCATAAAAATGTGCATTGCTATTTACATTGCCAAATATTTATTTTGTATTATTTCAGGGTTAGGTTAGGTTAAGACACTTTCTAGGCCGAGCGCTGCGGCTAGGGGGACGAGCACTGCGGCTAGGACAGGCCAGGGAGCCAGACGCTATGGACATGGCCAATAATATCAAATGTGATAGATATGAAATCCATGTACAAAATAGAAAGGAGGGGGCGGGTCCAAAAATCGTATACTAGGAAATTACTGAACTATTTATTGGCTCATTTTAACTTTTTTATTGCTCATTTGAACTATTTTTTGCTCATATGATTTTTTGCTCAATTGAATATTTTGTTTGCTCATTTAAACCATATATTTTTTGGCTCAATTTAAATTTTGTTTTTAATAGTTCAAATGAGCAAAAAAATAGTTCCAATGCGCACAGAATGTTATCGTATGAACTATTGGTCGTTTGAACTACTACACGTGGTACCACGTGCAATAGGAATGCTAAACTAAAAAACTAAATAGGACCTTTTTTAAGTACGAAAATCTAAATACATTTAGAGATTATATGACTGAACTCAGAGGAATGAACAGAAAAATAATAGTTTTTATTTAATTGTAAACTGTAATTTAGTATTTTTTTTTTGTAAAAGAATATTGTTTATGTCCAATTCTTTAAAGGTTTAAATACCCCTCCTCAAACAAGCCGCCCCCACCTTCCCCTGATTCACATAGTTCGTTAATTAGATCGACCCCCACCACCACGTCATACACATACCATACATATAAACAACTTGTTTTTAATCTTTCTGACAGAAACAATCTCAAGGAATAATAATTGTCTTAAAACATTTTTTAAAAAGTGATTATTTGAAAATTATCTTTTTTTCTATCTCATGATCTGAGTTAGTTTCCCTTCTCAATTTGAAAGTCCTATTTTTTTTAAAATAATCTTTTTTTGTTTGTTTATTTTCTTGTGGTTAACATTTATGTTTATCAATTTTTATGGTTATTATATCGTTAGAACTGACGAGGGTCAACCCAGACCGAAATATATTTTTAATAAACTGGAACTAACATCTACTTTTTTACTCTACAGAGGTTTGGTCTAATCACCATCACCGAATTTAAAAAGTAGCAGGGGAACCCAGTTGCCAGGAAACTAAATTGTCTCTCAATAAGTCTTTTAACTCGACTAAAAATTTAAAATGTAGCTAAAAACATTCCCGTGGTTCTACCGAGTTTTCCAATCGAAATTTGGGACAAATGTTAAGGATTTGATGAGTTGTGATGGGAGATACAGACAACCAGAGTTTGTGATTTAAAAAAAAGATTCGGAGACACTTCCAAATGAACGGAAAATGTTGTCTTCATAGCAATGGACAGTGGACTGAAGATTGAAGTCAAAATTTTTTTGTTCAACGTTCTGTTTTTGTTTATTTACCTTAGAATCTGTAGATTTAGCAGTGGTTAGTCTAGGTTTAGGTTTGGTTTCTGCTGAAGGTTTGGGTTCAGCCCGAGGTACCAGAGGTTTACGCTCAACCGTTGAACCTGGAGGCTTAGTTCCTGCAGGTTTGGGATCAGGTTTAGCTTTGGCTCCTGATAGATTACTAGCTGGTCGTTGGGTCAAGGGAGCCCGGGTTTCAACCTTAATATTTAGAAAATTATTGAAATACTAGGCTACTATCGAGTCTATCCTCTATTTACCTTTTAATTGTGGCTCTATTTGTGAGCAACTTCTCTCTGTACAGAATAAAACAATAACAAAAAAGTTCGCTGATTTTAAAATATTTATTTTGAGCATTTTTTTAATTTTACTAAAATCAAAAGCTTTTGAATACAACTTTTATTAATTCAGAGCATCCATAAACCCGCCTTGGGTTCATGTGAGGTCCCACACAAAATTTGGGCCAGATCGGTTCAGCAGAGTATATATATAGAAATCAAATAAGACTTCTAGGGACGTCCTACCTCCACAATACCATTTCTACATGAGAGTAATAAATTTCATTATTTACATTTGATTTTGCATGTTTATTCTTGGAAAAATATAACCCGGAAATCTTCATTTAAATGCTTATATTCGTTTTTTTAAATTAAAATTCTTTTATCCACTAAATCGGACATACGACGTTCAGATCACCATCGCAAATTCTAACTGTCGAGCTAAGCGCGATACTAAGCCTGTAGCTGGAAAAAGCCCTGTTACAGAGTTTGATTTTAAAATGTTGATATGAAAGATGAACTTAGATTGTTTTATTTTCACCTCCGAGGTTAGGAAAAATGCAATTTGGTTATCTAATTAATTATCTCATAGTAATTTAGATAATGTAATTTTAAAAATAGAAATGAATCCGTGATTATATATACATCTGATTTATCTGTTTGCAGGTTTGTGTTGATCAGATTAACGTCAAAAAGGCCAAACCGAGCGTGACAAATTTTGGAAAGGATGCAACTTTAAAATCTAAATATAAATTTAGCTTGGGTGTCTGTCTGTTTGTTTATATCCAATAAACGTAAAAACGGCTGAACCGATCAGGTTCAAATATTGTGTGGGACCTCACGTGGCCCCAGGGAAGGTTTATGGCCAATCAGACTTTAAATATGTGATCTTAAAATATTATTATCTTGAATTATTTAATTTTGTAAAAATTTTAAATAGCGCGAAAAAGTATTATGAAATCCGCAATTAAAAAAAAAGAAGATGCTCACAGATAAAGCAAAAAATAAAAGTTGAAAAAGAGCCTAGTATATTAAAAAAGATTTACTATTATAAGGGAAATCGGTGATTCTTTTCAGCTGTCTTTACATAGTGTATGAAAGAAAGAACTACAAAAAGGGCACTGTAAAAGCCTTTTTCTGTACCTTCCCCCTTCTCAAAAATAAGAATTTTTAAAATTTCGTTTCTTACCTTTATTCTTTCTCCAGGTTTAGTTTTATCTAAATCTTTTCCAGTCCTTGAGGGCACTGTTGCACCAGGTTTAGTCCTACCCGCAGCTGCTGTTCTTCCCCCTTTAGCAGTTGGCTCCACTTTAGTCTTGGTCATACCAGCTTTAGGTTTGGACTCAGAATCAGATTTAGGAGTGGATTCGGATTTATCAGATTTGGATTCGACTTCAGGGGTTGACGTTTCTGATGTTGCTGCAGGGTTAGGTTCAATAATTTCAGTATCAGATTTGGACTCAACGACTTCAATTTCTGGCTTTGATTCGTCTATTTCAGCTTTAAGTGTGGACTCAATAACTTCAGCTTCAGGTTTGGACTCGTTTACATCAGTTTCAGATTTGGATTCGACTATTTCAGCTTCAGGGTTTGACTCGGTTTTTTCGGCTTCTGATTCGGGTTCGACTATTTCCGCTACAGATTTTGATTCGACAATTTCTGCTTCAGGTTTGGACTCATTTAGGTCCACTTCAGGTTTGGATTCAACAACTTCAGCTTCAAGAACGGTCTCAGATACCTGCTCTATCAGCGATTCCTCTTTCTGAACTAGAGGTTCATGTTTTACCTCTGCTGCGATATCAACAAGATATTCTTTGGTCTTCTCTGACTGGACGGATTCCTGAGTTTCAGGTCCAGGTTGCTGTTCAAGATCTCCACCTTCATCCTCATGCTCAACACCCTCCTCTAGAACAAGAATATCGTTAAAGCTGCAAAATTTTGATTCTTTCACTTCTTTTAACGTTTAATAGTATTTAAGACCTAATATCAAGTGAATATTTATTGAGTTGCATGCCGGATCCACTATGGTACCCATTTGACCTGTATCTAAGAAACAATTCTAACAATTTAATTCATTGTCTCTGTTACACAAATCTTGCAAGTAACTGTTTCAGTGAGAATACATTTGAAAATAACATTTCAGATGAAAAAAACAAGTACTTTTCTTTTCTTCTGGCACGGTAATTATTACTGCTGTGAAACTAGTATAAAAAATTATAGCCCTTTTAATTTAATATTACAAATATAGATTTATCATGTTTGATTCACCATTTTGGAATAAAGAAGCCATACAAATGTAACTGTTCTGAATTCTACGAAATCATAAGTACATTCTACAGTTACACACATGTGCAAACAGTACTAAAACATTCGCAATCATTTCATAAACCCGAATATGAAACACGAAAACTTAATTTATTTAAAAATTAATGCTTTGCAAGTTTACTTTACCCTTTTGCGTATTTTCTCTTTATTTAAAAGATTGATTTACAATCTCCAAATTTGTAATGTAGATCCGCATCCTGTATTTTCTACAAAAATTGAATCTGGGTCAATTTGTGATAATTTTAGTTACAAAAAATAGCGTATGTTCTTTTTATTTAAAACATCGATTTACCATTCCCCACCCCAGTCCCAAAATATAATTCTATCCTTCTCTATCCTTCTCTATCCTTCTCTATCCTTCTCTATCCTTCTCTATCCTTCTCTATCCTTCTCTATCCTTCTCTATCCTTCTCTATATCCTTCTAATCCTTCTAATCCTTCTCATCTTTTTCTATCATTCTATATCCTTGTATCCCACCTGTATAGTATGCATGAGTAACCATACTCCTCGTAAACTGTATAAATGTGTATAGAATGGTGTGTAGGAGCAATAAACTGGATATTTCTAGTTTTCGAATCAATGCTGAACCGTGGACAGTGCACTTATCACTGGTTTATAACTTCATATGGCAGGGGCGTACTCCGGCTCTACCATTGGTTGATATCAGGTCACGTGACCAACCGGCTCCAAGCTAGGATTCACTCAGGTTTATCAATGGAACAATTACGTATTACTAATAAATTGTGCGTACCAGCCTTCTAAATCTACTTTTAAACATTCTCAAGAATTATGAATTATTATATAAATTATTATACATAGAGTAAAGTGCATTTATAATAATTTTTAGCATTAATTTTTCGTTTTTATACAATTAACTCATTGACAGCAACTAATAAACAATATTGGTAAACATTTTTTTTTCAGAATAAATTATGGGATTTATTCGTTTTAATCAACAGGTGTCATGTGCACAATTGTAATAATTGTGAACTGTAATAACCTATGCGCACATATGATAAGATATCTTTAATCAAGAACTGAAGTAACACTGTGCAGTCTAGTTAAATGTTTACTAAAACAATATTAAAAACAACTTTATTTTGCAAAAATTTCCTTTAATTTTGTGCTAGGATACAAAGATATGCCAGTTTAAATTATCTGGAGACAAAAAAAATAATGCAATGCCCTGTGAAATAGTTTTATGTTCTAAAAAATGTTTAATTTCAATACTCATCAAACTATAGGCTTTAAGCGCCCGCCCATTTTCTATTTAATTTTTCAACATTTTCTCGTTGAATACATAAAAAACAAATAAAAAATTGCGGATTTTATTTTTAAAAATCGTGGATTTTCAAAAACTTTAGATTTGAATTTTGTTAGTAGCAAATATTTGAAAATTCGGTGATCTTTAGACCTTCCCTGGGGTCACGTGAGAGCCGTTTTGACATTTATTGGACACAAACAGACACACAGACAGACAGACAAGCGAAATATTTAAATAGATGCGAAAAAGACAAAGATCTTCAAAAAAGGAATTGATCAAAAAGAAACAAAAGCTGCTTAAAAAATGACATTTTCAAAAGCAAAATCTTTTAATTTAAATTTTAACTTATGGGATAGAAAGATACTCGGAATCCACAGCAGAGGAACCTATTCTATCCCACGATGATCCTCCAGGACGACATCTCCTTCGTCCCCGTCCAAGAACCCCTCCTCGGACACTATGAAGTCTTTCAGACTCTTCTCGTCCTTCTAGTTTAAGTTCTCATCACTTCTACCTAAAGCACCATCACTGCTACCAGATCTACAGGGACTTTTTACTGGTCATTGAGATCCGTGAACCTTAGCTTTATCATAATTACGCATATAAAAAAAAATATTATAAAGGCGCAATTTACTCTACATATATGCATATTTTTTGGAAAAAATATGAAACATTGTGACATGTGTAGAGTGTACACTGTACAGTGTACAGGTTCAGCGTACATTCGATACTTTCAGTTAATGTGAATAGCTATCTAAGGCTGGAAGATGGTACAAGGAAACTGTTTATATTCAACTTGACTTATCAATACTATAATAAGTAAAAGTAAATGTGTATACTGTATACCCACCCCTCCCCTTCCTCCCCCCCCAGTACTTAGTTCCACACGCAAATAAAATAAATTTGTAATCGTCTCTAAAATAAAATATTACTTTATAAAAGTTCGAAAAGAAAAAAGTTTGAAGTGCATGACAATCCTGAGGAATTTATCCAGATAAAATCTTTCCAAACTACACTTCAGTTTCAAGTTAGGATGGTTTATTATGAAGATAACACAATTTCAGGATGTCTGCAGACCCCACCTCCTTCCCCTCCTACGTTCCACTTCAGGAGAATTAAGACTTAAAGACCCGACCTCCTTTCAGGGATGTATATTTTATATCCCCTCTTTTGAAAATCATTTCCCCCCCCCCATCTGGGTGCCCAGAACCAAGGTATCTTATTTACCTTTGAGATAGATATGTTCAATAATGGTAGTTTGTGAAACTAGGGAGCGGGGGGGGGGATTCAAATCATGTTTGACTAAGAAGATAATGACAAAAAAGATATTTCGAACAGAATTAAAGGTGTTCAAAGTAAAGGGTTTTATTTACTGCAAATACAATAAGATCATATAAAAATGTAACATAGTAAATGGAAACAAATCCGCCAAGAAATCATCAGAAATCCGCGATTATTTAATTTTCTTTTTTTAACATTTAAAAAGGATCTTTTGAAATCTGGATTAAAATTCTCCATTTAGATATTTAATTAATGCTGGGCTGCAGATGATGAGATTGAGAAAATAAGAAAAAGTTTTGAAAGAAAATCTATCCAAAACCACCCCAGTCATTAAAAAAAATCCGTTAAAGATCTTTTTATACAATGGAGAGCAGAATTAATTTTTAAGCAGAATAAATTTTTAATTGTGCCCGATTGATTAAAAGAATACAAGGGAAAAAACTTTAATAAAAAAATGTCTGAAAGAATTTTCGAATGTTTTTTTTATCCTGTCACCCCTCGAGTTTCCTAAAAATCAGCATATTCGGTCCAGTCGCTTGGCCAGTCGTAGCTAACATATATTTATGAGCATTATTTTAAATTACCTGTAATAGAATCAGTAGCTGGAGATCTGGATCTGGTTGGAGTTGAGGGGATGATATTTAAAGACGGTATACTCAATCCAGGAGAAGCGGGGGTTATCTGAACCATTGGAGGAGTTGGTTCTACAGAGAAGGTTGATACGTCACCGTCTCCAGGGGTCTTTAGCATAAACCCGGGGGCTTCCTCGCTCTCAAATACAATCTCTACAGTTGATCCTCCATGGCAGGGATCAGTGGAACCTAAATATTTATAAATCATGGACGGGCTAGAGATAAGGATATGGGAAGCACTTACAGCGTAATTGCAAGTGACATTCCATGTAAAGTTGACAATTCCAGATTCACAAAAGCTTTGTCTGATCAAGTATGAATGAATTAGATATCAATGTTGTGAATTTAATAAATGATATATTTTCAATATTTCTCTATAAAATTGACTTGCGCATTTCTACTGTAGGACAACACATTGAAATAATTAGAATATAAATACATTTAAGCAAGCTCATCCTTGCTAAGAAGGGTAAATTCAAATTACGCTTTTTATCCCTTTAGCATACGAACATCCTTATAGAATTGTTTTAACAGAAGGTATCATTATGTTTGGGTTTATTTGTGGGTGTTGCCAGTGAAAAGGAGAATATCAAGTATTAGACAACTTTACAGATGTGAGGCTCACAAAAAAAATCTAAGCTGTCAAAAGGATTAGGATCATTAAATTTATAATTTGGATAATTGTGGGAGTTAATCCACTAATTAATAAATCAACTGATCAATTAATTAGCTTGATTGTGTGGGTGCAACTCCATAGAATCTTAAAGGGACCGTTTACAAAATTTCTAGTGACCTTTCATTTACGGAGTAATAAGTAAGATTCAAAGATACCTTTGTCTGGGCCAAAATAATGGAGTAATCCTTGTTTTTCTTTTTGAAAACGATCAATTATCAGTTGAAATTACTCTTGAACACTAAGACTTGCGGATAAGCTCAGCAGAGAAAAATAATGACAATTTATCTGTTTGAAGAATATATTTCTCATTGTTTTTCATGAAAAGATTGAATGGGTCTTTATATACTGATTTACTTCTTTAATGGAGAAACAATTGAAATTACGCGGACAATCTCTTTAACACAAGGTTGATGTGTCCTTTTAAGGATTTCTATAAGCACACTAAATAAGGTGTCATGCTCTCCTATTGATTAAATGTGACATGCACAGTGCACACCGAGAGACGTGTACATTGTATACAAGGGAAGTGTACTGTAGTTTTTTGGAGGAAATATAAACAAACTTGTTTTAAATTGCATCTCGCTTGAATCAAGAATTTAATGCAAGGAAAGTTATTTCAGAAGTGTACGCATGTTTTGTACTGCAGTGTACTGTCACTGGGCGGTAATGTAAACACAAGACGGATGTCGAAGCCTGACATGGGATCCATCCATAGAGAATAGAATATATAGAGAGGAATTAAAAGAATCTCTCGGTATGAATTTTTTCAGTCCCTTTCAGCCTGAAAGGGAGTTCAAAGTGTACAAATCATGTAAATGTTCACAAATTATATGCAGTAGAGTACATTAATACAGTATGTTCCCTAGACTATTCATTTCAATTTCGAATTTTTTAAACTGTTAAATAAACTTTATAATGAATTAGGTGAATAAAAACATCATTTGATTTATAGTTATAACGGAAAATCATCGTTTGTAAAGTGGAAGGCATAGAGTCTATGTGAAATGATCATTGGTCAATTATGAAACCAGCCTATTTCATAATTTGGTTTTCTTTTAACAATAATTTGAGATTTTCTATAAAATGATATTCCAGGGCCCAACAGGTTATATAGCATAAATATGTGAAGTACACCTGTAGTATGGAAACAGTGCAACAAAATGGCCGTTTTACACTTTTTTCTAGTAAATTCCTCTCTATATATTCTATTCTCTATGGATCCATCTTTCACATAAAATAATCAATGAAATATTCTGGTCATAGGAAACTATTATGTGAATTATCAAAATTTTCAAAATTCAATGCTTTTAACCTCCTCGGATACTAAACGAACACTGATGCATCTATTCTTGTTTACAAATTCCGCCCAGAGAGAACTGGTTTCAATATGTACGCATAGTATACGCAACTGCAATTAACTTTTCTTTGCATCACATTCTTGGCTTGAATTAAGTGAGAAATATGAACACTGTACTAGGATGTACTGAAATAATGTTGGTTTTATTATTCCTTTGAAAATAAAATATATGTTTAACAACATGTAATAGGTAGCGAGAAGTAATTAAACTATGTAAACTAAGTTAAACCAGTTTTCTAGAACTTGAACCGGTTCAACTATGTCTATGTAGTTAATCTACTTCTCGCTTAAGATTAAATCTGGTCCAAGTTTACACATTTATGTATTAGTTATATAAGGAGGAGGATCAAAACTGGTTTCTGTTATCAGAGTTTAAAATAGTTTCAAAATTCAGTTTTATAACTTTAATTATTATTATGTTATTATTATATTGTCTTCCACTATATTAAAAAACATAGAATTACCCATAGGGAACGATATCCTACATTTCATTTGTCCCACATTTCATTTGTCCTACACTTCATTTGTCCTAAACATCATTTGTCCTACATTTCATTTGTCCTACATTTCATTTGTCCAACACTTTATTTGTCCTACACTTCACTTGTCCTACACTTCATTTGTCCTACACTTCATTTGTCCTAAACTTCATTTGTCTTACATTTCATTTGTCCTACACTTCATTTGTCTTACACATCATTTGTCCTGCAACTCATTTGTCCTACATTTCATCTGTCCTACACTTCACTTGTCCTAAACTTCATTTGTCCTACACATCATTTGTCCTGCACATCATTTGTCCTACATTTCATCTGTCCTACACATCATTTGTCCTACATTTCATTTGTCCTACATTTCATTTGTCCTACATTTCATTTGTCCTACATTTCATTTGTCCTACATTTCATTTGTCCTACATTTCATTTGTCCTTCATTTCATTTGTCCTACATTTCATTTGTCCTACATTTCATTTGTCCCACATTTCATTTGTCCCACATTTCATTTGTCCTTTACTTCATTTGTCCTAAACATCATTTGTCCTACACATCATTAGTCCAACACATTATTTGTCCTACATTTCATTTGTCCAACACTTTATTTAACCAACTCTTCATTTTTCCTACACTTCATTTGTCTTACACATCATTTGTCCTGCAACTCATTTGTCCTACATTTCATCTGTCCTACACTTCACTTGTCCTACACATCATTTGTCCTACACATCATTTGTCCTACACATAATTTGTCCTACATTTCATTTGTCCTACACTTCATTTGTCCTACACTTCATTTGTCCTACACTTCATTGTAAGTTAAATATATCCCTTGATGTAGAAAAAATGTATTTATATTTTTTGTTGTGTTAGTTTCCCACATATATGTTTTCTCTGATTTAAATTAAACTTTAAAACATAACTGTAGGACAAATGATGTGTTCCTTTTACTGGTGGACATGATGTGCAGGACAAATGAGTTATGGAACAAATGATGTGCAGGACAAATGAGTTGCAGGACGTATGAGTTGTAGAAAAAATGATGTGTTGGACAAATGATGTGTAGAAAAAATGATGTGTAGGACAAATGATGTGTTGGACAAACTATGTGTAGGAAAAATGAAGTGTAGGACAAATGATGTGTTCCTCTTTCTATAAAACAAATGATGTATAGGACCAATAAAGTGTAGGATAAATGAAGTGTAGGACAAATGATGCGTTCCTTTTTCTGAAGGACAAATGGTGTGTAGGACAAATGAGGTGTATGACAAATAAAGTGTAGAAGGACAAATGATGTAAAATATTTCTCAATACAAATAGTTTCTTTTTTTACATTTCTCAAAGAACCAATTAAAAATAAAAATATTAAAAATAAGCCCTGAAATTCCGATTAAAGCTACAATAAGACAAATGTTTCTGAACCTCCTTCCTAATAATCCTGAATATTCCCTTGAAGTATATTTTTATGAATCTATTTATGGAAAACCAAGGACTAAACATCGTAATTCAAACAGAGAAAAGCATGCAATAATTTTATCTGGAATCGATTTTATACGTTCAAAATGGAAACTAACAGGGTTAGCACTACCCTGTATAATAACTAACCCTTTATTTTTTGAAATTGTGATTTTTTCTATAAATAGATACTCACCATTCGTAATTGAACTGTCAACCCCGTTCTGAGGTTGTGTTTCAGTGTTTGAATCTGTGTTCTGGGTTTCACCTTCCCCCGAGCTCTCTTCAGTCAGGTCCTGACAACTGCCTCCAAGAACCTCTACTACAGCCTCCTAGACATATTATAGTTAGATCCTGACAATTGTCTCGATGACATATAGCCTCCTATACATGATTAAACTCTAAACATAGTATAGTTAAAACCTAACAATGGCCTCCGAAAGCCTTTAATATAGCCTCCTAAATATAATATGGTTAGGTTTTCTAACAATTGCCTCCGAGAAACTCTCCGAAACATAATATAGTTAGAATCTGACAACTGCCTCCGAAAACCTCTACTATAGCTTACTAAACTGAATAAAGTTGGATTCTGAAAACTGCCTCCGAGAACTTCTACCACTGCCTCCTAGACATAATATAATTAGATCCTGACAATTGCCTCCGATAACATACAGCCTCCTATACACGATTACACTCAATTATAGCCTCCTTAGCATAATATAGTCTGATCCTGACAATTGCCTCCAATAATCTATAGCCTCCTAAACATAATATAGTTTGATCCTGACAATTGCCTCCAATAATCTATAGCCTCCTAAACGTAATATAGTTTGATCCTGACAATTGCCTCCAATAATCTATAGCCTCCTAAACATAATATAGTTTGATCCTGACAATTGCCTCCAATAATCTATAGCCTCCTAAACATAATAATAGTCTGATCCTGACAATTGCCTCCAATAATCTATAGCCTCCTAAACGTAATATAGTTTGATCCTGACAATTGCCTCCAATAATCTATAGCCTCCTAAACGTAATATATTTTGATCCTGACAATTGCCTCCAATAATCTGTAGCCTCCTAAGCATAATATAGTTTGATCCTGACAACTGCCTCCACTAATCTATAGCCTCCTAAACATAATATAGTTAAAACCTGACAACTGCCCCAGAGAACCTCCATAATATCTCTTAATTAATCCGTCCTGTTAATCCCAATTATTAAAGGGACAATCGACGTGATCTCAAGTCACATTCCAGTTTTCTCCAACTTTTTGATTAACAACAAAATAATATTCTTGTTTTACTATCTTTGTAAGACACAGTCAATTTTGTTCCAAGTCTACTGTAGATAAACTGCAACTGAATAATAAAAACCAAGATTTCTTAATTATTTTAGTTCAGACAGAGGTAACTCATTAAATCACTTATTTTGGAGGAAGAGGTTTAATTTCTTGATAACCATTTCTGACATTGAATACACTTAAAGGGACTGTTAAGCGTAACTTCTAATGACCCTACATACAAAGATGATAATGCCCGATTCACAACGGTACCCTTAAAAGTTATGTATGCTCAAGTATGAAATAGATATCATTGTTTATAATTTAGAAAACTGATTATTTTCAATCGTGGTTTCTCTACAAATGTTCATTGCACATTTCTATCGCAGGAAAATATAAAGGAATAAAACACCTTTAAGTCTAGAGGTGCAAAAGCGTCGGGAAACCCGTCGGTCGCGCGGTACACTTTAAACTGCCCTTAAAACGACGATATCTTCCACATTATTGATCAGATAAAGGTCTCAAGGTTACAGTTGTGAATTTGTCATAGCTATATATGCACTTAAAAATACGCTTACAGTCCCTTTAAAACCTTCATAATACAGATCTAACTTCAGCCCCGGACACTTCCTTCCCAACCTCCAGTTGTATACTGATAGATAGATAGATACTACCGGTTAGACAGATAGATAGATATAGACACTGATAACTTACATATTTGATAAAAATATTTCTCTGTGTGGCCGAACAGCGAACGATGAATCATGTTTATGTAATTTAATCTTTCTACAGTTCGGCCTAAAACTTGATATATATCGACTTTAACACTCAATCTTTAAAAGAATAGTGAGCAAAGCATACAAAAGAAATTTAGCTTCTGTCAATAATTCCACTATTTTAACAGAACGGGACTGTAGACATAATTAAAATTGACCTTCTATTTAAAGGAAGGCATGGCCCTGTTCAAAATAGAAATCTTTAAATCTTTTTCTCACAAAATGAAATTTCTTGTTTTTTTCACTCTTAGGGAAACCCATAATTTTTTTTTGCGGATTTTGCAGCGAAGTTGAGGAGGAATTTACCGAAAATATCTATCCAAAATAAAATAATGAAAATACAAAACCCCTCAATTTTATTCAGACGACGGTTTAAAGGGTACCTTAGTGAATCGAGGGTGCTCACTTAAAATTGCTTACACGACTTGATAAATTATCTTAAGCGATTTTTTTGGACGTTCTTAAAGGGTACCTTAGTGAATCGAGGGTGGTCACTTGAAATTGCTTACGACTTGATAAATTATCTTAAGCGATTTTTTTTGACGTTCCTTGGCAAATCTGCAGAAGATGATGAAAATGGATGTAAGTCTATAATTAACATACGACGTTTAGATATTTTTAGTCTTCTTCCATTTGTTAAATTTTTCATTCATTTCACAATGAAAATAATGAAAAAACCTGGATTTTTTGTTCAATGGAAGTCACTTGGAATTACTTTTACAGTCCCTTTAAGCGTAACAATTTCAATTTATCAAAATCCGATTATGAAACTGGAAATGTCGGCAAAACTTGAAAGGATTAACTAGTTTACGTTTACTCAGATTAGATTACAAGCAACATCATTCATCATTTATAGGTTCAACTTTTAACAAGTTTGCAAAATGTTTGCAAAAAAAGGAACATAAGCAGAGCAATATAGAATATACATAAAAAGTAAAAGTGGATATTAATTAAGTCGGCATTAAAGGGTTGTTTCAGGCATTTAAAATACCAAATATAAATAGCATATAAATAGAGATTGCTCCGTATTCATTTCCCGGATTTCAAAATAATAAATGAATATCTATCTTGATTTTGTTTCGTTTAATTTGATAAATCAAAAAATATCTCATATTTTAAACCAAATTGTAAATTGCACTGCCCATGTCTCTCAAAAGAATGGACGATCTCTGAAAAAAAAACGAAAAAAAAAACATTTCAGAAATGGAAGAAATGTCAAAATATTATATAAATGATTTATATCCCGGTTTCTTTAAAACTGTAACAAATTATTAGAGTCATGCAATCTACAGCACTTCAAATATACAACGTTCAATCTTGTTTTCCACTCCCTCCCCCTCCCGCTTGCTATTCAAATATCTAAATCCTTATTGCGTTCTTTAGAGTTGAAATCAGATGTCTCTCAACTCCAACCCACCCCTTAAAATGATCTACATAACCTAATTTAGACCTAACCATATGCAGCTGACGAGATAACTATAGATGGTTTAATATTTTTCACACGCTCGGATTATAACATGGGATAGAACAGGGTTGCCAGTACCTCCAAACATACCACATGTTTCTATTTGCACCCCAAAGATAGAAAACAAACTTTAAATAAATCCATGTAAGGACCTATTCACATTATTTGTTGTTCACTATGACACCCACCATTCAAGAGTAAATTCAATAAATTTTTTAGCTTCAAAAATCCGTAATTTTAAGGAGAAACTGCTGTAGAGAATGATAAATTTTCAGATAGAATAATAAGAATGCTTCAAAAATCCGTAATTTTAAGGAGAAACTGCTGTTGAGAATGATAAATTTTCAGATAGAATAATAAGAATAACTAGGTTATTTGGGTTAATTGAAGGGTATCGAGGAAGCAATAACGTGGACCGTCATCTTGAAATATATCAAATAATTAATAATATTATTACAGTTTGATGCTAGTGTTGTCTTCTTTATCGTTTTTAACGTTATTCAAATTTGCAATATTTTTATCCTAAATAAAGGAAAAAATTAAAAATGATCCAATAACGATCATTATTGGGTTGTTTTCGGTTCTTGTTTTGCACATTTTTTTCTGTCACGGTCTAAACTTGGCATAAAATAAGAAAGGTACATGTTTATAATAAAAAGTTTAGTAAAAATTGCCAATTGCCAAATTCGGACCCTGAAAGAAAATAACGGCAAAAACGATCCAAAAACGAAACGGACAAGAATGCACATAACTATTTGTTGGATGTTTTACCTGCGATGAAGGTAGATTATGACCAGGTGGCACCAAGCACCCAGACTCCTCAGGACACGTTTCCTTTATCACAACCTTAAAAACCATTCATATATTTTGACATCTTCACCTGACCAGGTGAAAACTAATCTTCATGCATACTTTTTCATTGAAGTCTTTCTGGAGCCTATTGTAAGAATTGTAAGATAACTATTAGTCTACGACCATGAAACATTGTTGGAAAGGAAATGGCTTTTTTGTCTGTCTACATCCAACAAACGTCAATACGCCAATCGCTATTTGTGAAAATGAGCAAATTTAAACAGAAGAATCTTACTTTTACATAAAGTGATTAGTAATTCTGGAGCGCCATATGTACACCCCTTTGTTTGTAAAACCTTTATATGGTGCATGCAGATTGCAGATTTGGTCGTTTTTTACTCAGTACGTGAATCAATGCTAATTTTTATTTAACCTGTAGAAATTAAACATTCACTTTCTAAAAAAAGTCGCGTCTTTATTAAATAATTGAAAAAAATCTAAGAAAACTATGATTTTAGTTTGTTGCACAATGTACTGACAATTCTTTTGATACCCAGTAACCAGAAATTGTCCAAACCTTAAAGGGACTGTGAGCGTAATTTCAAGTGACCCTCCATGCAAAGATGTCTGAACCCGATTTGCAACGGTACCCTTGAAACCTTTATCTAATAAATAATTTGAAAGATATTGTGGGTTTCCTATCTTTTAAATAATTTAATTCTGATAATTCCTACATGTTTTCCTGCACTGCAGTATAAAAATGCGGAAGTCACTTTCATAGAGAACACACATTCGAAAATAACCAGTTTTCCAAATTATATAAACTTTGATACATAAGACATACTTGATCTGACAAAGCTTTAAAGTATACCGCTGTGACTCTGGCGTGGCACTCTTTGAACGGAGGGTCACTTGAAATTACACTTACAGTCCCTTGTCTACGAAAAGTAAAAGAAAGTATTAGAAAATTCCCAAAATAAAGAAATGCTTGAATTCCCGATATTGATATATTCTCTAGGAATATAGATGTATAATTGAGAGATTATTGACGGATCTAACAACACTACCTGGTATCTAACATACGGCCAGGGGTGTATATTTTCTTGAAAATTAATTCCCCCCTTTGAAAATATATATGCTTACGTGGAGCGCTAATTTTTTAGTTTTTGATATACAATTCTGAAGAATTAACACCCCTGCATACAGCCTCTGAAACCACGGACAAAATATTGAATAAGTAGCATCCAAAGATAATAGATAAGTATAAAGTGGAATTAAGTCGAAAAATGTAAAACCGCCCTTTTGTTTACTGGTCTTGAATATTTGAATATGGATTTGAATATTTAACAAAATAATAACTATTTATCTAACAGTCAGAACTTATACGTCGTGAATCTCAGGATCAGACATTGATCTCCATCTTACACAGATAGATTAATTTAATTTCTCTTCTATGTCCCGTTGTGGTCATAACCTGCAGGGATGAAGCATTGATCCTCAATATCGGATCAGGATATTCAGATAACGCGTTCAAGGTTAACAATATTACAATAAAACGTTAAGACAAAAAAAAATAACAATACAACTTTCAAGGAATAAAAAGGTTACAATCACACGAGAGCAAAAGAAAACACGTTAGATAAAACCTATATCTACTCGAATTTTTTTTTAAAACTATTTTTTTTTTTAACTATAGCATTATTTTTAAACTATAGTATTATTTTTAAACTATTGTATCATTATTTTGTGACTGTAATAAGTCAACTTATGAACAGATAAAAACGTCAAGGCAAAACAAAACGACAACATGAGAAATTGTCAAAGGATAAAAATGTGACGCCACAACAGCGTGATAGCAAAAATCGGAAAGGTCTACTTTTCCACTACATGATGGCTACATCTTACAATCCGTGTAAACACCCAACTCCCTAACTGTAGTTATTTATTCGTTGATTTAAACAAAATCTCGAAAAATAGTTGCGCGGAGCGCAGAATTTTATTCAGGGTTTTATTTTGCTGAATTGGTGAAAATGAAAGATTTCAAGGGGAAATAAATGAGCTTTTGATTAAAAAGTATTAAAAGACTTGTCTTTTGATGTCAAATTTTTCATTCCTCCCCCCCCCCCTGATAATTCTGAAAAATATATACCCCTGCATTATTTATATTATTCTTCTACCTGTTCACAAGGATCCATGTCTTCAGTTGTAATTCTAGAAAATTCTTTGTCCCTGAATTCAGCTTTCTGTCCTTCTTCAGGATCCACCTTGTCAAAATCATCGGAACCGTCGCTGGAACCGTCTTCAACCACAGGAACACCAGTATCAACATCATCATCGTCATCATCTTCATCATCTTCATCTTCATCATCCTAATAGTTTAATCATTTAACAACTTCATTTGATTTTCATTCATACTTTTGCCAAGTCTGTAGGTTAAAATGACTGAACTGAGCTGAAAACTTTAGAATGGGATATCCTTAATCCTGATCGGATAATTAATCTGGAGATTAAAAATGAGAGCAATATTTAATCTCGAGATTAAGAAAAAGAGTGGATTAAGCCTTAATCCTGATATCCACCATTCTAAAGTTTTCAGCTCTGCTCTGATAGGGCCAACATTTCTGAGGGACTTCTACAGACCAAAAGGAATGTTGATAAATTTGTTTCAGGAATCTACTAATAAAAGCAGGAAATCTGTGAAATCATGAATTACTATTGTTTGATAATGCACAAAGAGCTGAGAACTTAGTGTTTGATACACATATAATCAAGATCGCTTCATCTCAATATCCACTGTGGGCACATTTAATTTTAGAATCAATGCTTCATTTTAGTTGTCCCTCCATTGAACAAAGCTCCCTTTAACCACTGACTGGGTACGATTACCAATTACCACGCGGGATATCGACTAAAGATTACATTACTCTGCAGATTAATTATAAAATCGAAATCAAGCATTGCAATCAATATCCACAATACAAGAGTTCCGAGCTTAAGCATAAGAAAGAATTTTAAGTTAAAAGCGTATATTACCTGGTTTATATAATCCTCCTTCATGTTCCTCCTTTCCTCTAATATTTCCTCCAAACTCCTTCCATCCTCCTCAGGGGGCGGGGATTCATCATCCTGCAATAGAGCTCTGTATCATTTGCCATAATATAATAATACCTTTGCCATTATTACACTTCCCAATCCAATAGTAGCTTTCTTCTACATATATTATATAAATCTGCTGTAAAATTTCCTTTCAATCTCAACTATTTCTCAATTACAACTGTCTATCCGTTACATTAATGAAGGCGAGGCTACAAAGGCGGCCGAGCACCGCGGACAGGACAGTCCATGGGAACGATTTAAAAAAGGTGGATATATACTCTGAAGGAAAAAATTGGCAAATGCAATAACTTTCGTTTTTTGGAATCTTTAAGGTGTTTTGACTTCTAAATGGTTCCACCAAAATCCGATGTATTGATCAATAGATGCAACCATTTTGGCAAGTGTTACTAATTAAAAATGTTACTTCTAGTATAAGTTTCATGGCAATAGTACCCTTGAAAACCTTGATTGTAAATCTAGAATAATCTCCTCCATATTCTTGTTAAAAGCACTGTAGCCGCAATTTCAAGTGAACCTCCAACAATTAAATATTTAAAAACCACTTAAATTCCATTAAACGGGCGGTCACACTGCTGAAAATGGACCTTTAGGTTTCAAGTCAAAACACTTAGGAACTTTTTCTTTGGAATATATTAATACTAGACTTTTAGGGCGCTTTGCGTCCATCTTCTATTTAAATTGTGAACATGTTCTTTTTGTTTACATTTTAAAACAAAGAAGAAAAAAATTTCGCGGATTTAAAAAAAAAAATTCGCGGATTTTCAAGAATTTACTTTTTTTTTACAAAATTAAAAACCTTCAAAACACATTTTTTTATCATTCGTAAACCTTCCCTGTGGTCACGTGATGTCCCACAAAAAATTTGGGCCCGATCGGTTCAGCCGTTTTGACGTTTATTGGATACAAACAAACAGACAAACAAGCCAAATTGATATATAGACTACACTTAGAGGGCGCTTCGCGCCCATCTTCTAAATTAATTGTGAACATGTTCTCTTTGTGTATATCGTAAAACAAAACAAAAATAATTCGCGGATTTTCACAAAAATTTCGTGGATATTCAAAATTTTCAAAATTTAATAAAGATCGAATTTTGATGGAGACAAATATTTGAAATTTTGACCATTCATAAACCTTCCCTGGGGTCCCTAGATGTCCCACAAAAAATTTGGGCCCGATCGGTTCAGCCGTTTTGACGTTTATTGGATACAAACAGACAGACAAACAAACAAACACCCAGACAGACAAGCCAAATTTATATATAGATGTAGTCTGCTAAATTATAATATCAATTTTCAGGAAATGCAAGCTAGGGAATTTTGAGTAAATCCATTCCGAAGATACTATAGAAATCATATGCATTTTCAGGTCTAAAAACAAACGTATCTTAATTTTCAAGACTTGATTAAGCTGATTCTGTTTTTTTTCTCGTTATTTTTTTGAACTGTTAATGGCAGGGTCCCCAAATTTTGTGAGTTGTCTTTAATAGTCTTATACATGTTTTAGCAAAAAATCGAAGCCATAAATAAACTGTTTAAGTAATGCCTAAAAAAGGTTTTTTGAAGTGAAACCCTAAAAATAACATCAAAATGACTTTTTCAGGCCGTATCTAGTCAGTCAGGCAGCCGACTTAGGGTTTTTTTTTACTACAATATGTTTTATGACTGTTCATGAAAAGCTACAAAATTTGACGACCCTGTCATTAACAGTTCAAAAAATATCACAAAAAACCCCAGATTAAGCATATTAAAGTCCTAAACAAAATTTACATTTGATTTTAGACTTATAAATGCACTTGATATCTGAGATATCTTAAAACTGGATTTCCAGAAAATTCCCTCGCTGGCATTTTCTGAAAATTGAGATCTTAACTCAGTAATAGACTGCATATTAACATATTTAGAAGAAAAAGTTTAGGTGTTTTGACTTAAACCCTGATGGTCCATTTTCAGCAGTGTGCAGTGTACGCTGAGTTCAATGTGAAATCAATACAGTTGATGCTTTCCTTGTGTCCCTTGACCGAATCTTTTACATCAAAAGTGGTTTTCCCAAAATTAGAAAGAATATATTTAATTTCTGCCAATTCTAGAAGAAGTAAGGTTTGTAAAAAACAACACTTTTACCTTGTTTAAGATATTCAGAAGGTCATTGACTTGACCCATTGATGAGCTGGCGAGAAGGCTGTTCATCTTAGTGTCTAGTTCTAGTTCAGATTCTTTCTTAGGGGAGATAAACCCGCTGTCTACTAGAATACAACCAGAGTTTGTACATGTAAATTTTCTTTTAATAGAACTGCTTATGAAAATTATACATATACAGTGTTATTCTCAAAGAAACGGATTTTTTTTAAATTGAAAAAAATTCTAATTATAATTTATGAAGCAATATCAAAAAATAACCCCAACCTTTTTATTCAAAACGTTATCTGCATATTTTGTGCTTTCAAAATTACAAGAGATCTAATTAATGATTTAGTTCAGAATTAGGAAATTTTGGTTTTATATAATAAATTGAAATCACACAGGTGATTCTTTTAGCACAGAACGATTAGACCACATTTCAGAAAATGTCAATAGCAGGAAATAGGGTTGATTTTTTCATCCAAAAAATCCGTTTCTTTGTTAATAATCTTGAAAAATTCATTTTTTACCTCTTACAGGACTGTCCACGCTTGTTGCAATAAATCCATCAACAATGTCAGACTAAAACAATAATGTAAAATCAGTCAAAATGAAAATAAAATCAGACTAAAAAATAATAAGAAATCTTACAAAAATAGTAAAATGAGACTTAAAAAATAATGAGAAATCATACAAAATAATAAAACCAGACTAAAAAATAATGAGAAATCATACAAAAATAGTAAAATCAGACTAAAAAATAATGAGAAATCATACAAAAATAATAAAATTCGTCTCCAAAAAAAATGAGAAATCATACAAAATTAATAAAACCAGACTAAAAAATACTTTTAAAAATAATCACTCAGGAGAGATCGAAATTTTTGATTAGCGCTAATCTACAACGCATGATCTTAAACCACTTCAGTAATTAAATCTGAAGATAACAACATGTTACTATCAAAAACAAACAAATTCTGTGTACTTTACAGTGTACACTGTACAACGTACTGTTGTACACATACAATAGAATTGCCAAAGTTCACAGAACACAGAAAAAGTATGTACATAATGATCTTCAGTATACATTATATCTAATCAAAGATTAGATATTGATAGAGGTTCAGTGAACTGAGCACAGCAGGCAAGCTAGCAAAACTGTACAATATTAGACAAATTTGGGTTGTTTGTGTATCTTGTGTGCGTACTACTTATTCTTAAAAAAAAAATTTTCTTGCATTCAGGGTTCATTGTAAGCCAAAACTGGCTTATTTCTGTGCTTACTCAGTTAGGAAACCTTAAAAATACTAAACTAAATGCAGAAACCAAAAATTAAGCTTCAAATCGAGTTTGGTCGTCTATACAGTTTCATCCTTTTCAGCTTTGTTTACAAAAAGTGCACTGCAGTTTCTGGGAGAAATGTAAACAAACGCAGTGCTGCTCCGGCTAAGTAAACTATACGTTTTTGTTACGAAACTGCAGTACATTTTACATTTACAATGACATTCATCCGAACTTATTATAATCATCGAATCCTAAAAAGAATTCGGTAAACTTAGATTAAATTTTATATTAAATGGAAAAAATCTCTCATAGATTTAAAGACTAAAAAGAACTAACGTTATATTATTCATTGTGAGACTGAGTTGCATGGTTTTAAACTTTCTTTTCACTGAATTTAGTTTCAGAAACCGGGGTTACTATAAAGCCTCTAGTAAGTTTATTCAGCTGTTAAAATCTAACAGAAGATATGGGAATTAACGGGAAATTAACTATTCGTTAACAGTTTGGTTTTTCTTCTCTTAAAATCTACAGACCAGGGGTGCAAAAATGTTAAGTTAAAACAATTATTCCATAGTTTCTGACAGCAGGGGTGCTTCTAAGGATGGGGGGAAGTCGAACCACACCCGCTTTACCTCCGACTCACAAATACCATTTTGTGACGTCATTTGTGGGTCGGCATCCCACCATCTTCCAAGTGTTCCCAGGTAACTTTCACACCAAAATCAGAAAACTTATTTTCTCAAGCACTATTGATTAGTTGATTGAAATAATATTTTTCTCAAAAATTTGCCGTGCTAACAGTCATATCTCCAGTTGAAAGCAAGCTAGAGAAAAGAAAAAAATATTTCTAGAATTCTTAAATCTAAGTAAAGCAGATTTTGAGAGAACTCTGGTAGCTCCTACATGCTACAGCAAGAAAATATTTTTCTGAACTAATAATTTTGATTCAAAATCAGCTGGTTCGTAATTCTTTTATGCAAAGTGCAAGTTTATATTTAGTACATCTCTCAGTAGAACATCTTGTTAATTAATTGTTTATTTGGTTGTACAATAATTATTCCAAAAAAAGTTTTTTTGTTCAAAGTTTAATTTTGACTGCTTAGTCGAGAAGAGTCAAAAGTTTCTCCTTCATTATAAAAATGGGTTAAAAATATCAGATCGAGCATGATATAAACTTATTACTTATGCAATAAACTAACTATTATTTTGAATGTTAAAAAGTTTGAAAATCATTGAAAAATCAAAATTATTGAATATTGATAATCGGTGAACACAGTTTGTTAAAATAGGCTTAAAATTGAAAGTGTATAAAAAGATGGAATTTTTTTAAATATCTGCAAATTGGATAGCTGAACCCATGTACCCGAAACGAAATTAAAAATGTACAGTGAAACCCTTAATAACGAATACATCGAAAGAATTTATAAAATGTCGTATTCTTCACTTTCTGATAATGGAATGTTGCAGTTATTTAGTTTTTAAATTAAATGATTATATGGAACTCTTTAAAACTGTTCCCGCATAATCATGGCTATTTATTTATTTTCGCAAATACTGAAATTTACGTAATATAGTATAAAACTCATTGAAAAATGGTCAAGACGACATTTGATAAACACTTCCGATGTATTCGTAATTAAGGGTTTCACTGTACATGTGTATCAAATTGAAAGAAGACAAGAGTTTCTTAAGGTATATAGGCAGTAGGTATGCCACAGAAGTTGAGAAAAGATGACCACTGCACTGACCAGTTTAAGCTTACGCCCCTATAGCACCACCACCATAATACACCATAAGAATTTTTACTTTATTGTCTAGAGAGCCTGTTGGAGACCTGACTTATGTTTTAAAACTTGCAAAATATCGTTAAAAAATCTATGAGCCCTTATAACGCCTCCAGTATTAATGTAACAATCAGAAGTTATAATAACAGTTATTTTAAGTTTAATTTTCAAATTATAAAAATATTTTTTTTTCTTGGATTGCTTGGAACTGGAGATATGACAGTAAGCCCTAAGCATGGCACATTTTTGAGAAAAATATGATTTCTATCAATTAATCAATAGTGCCTGAGAAAATAAGTTTTCTAATTTTGAGGAGATAGCTAGGAAGTTACCTGGGAACACTTAAAAGCACTTTCCCTTTTCAGAACATATGGGATTATTTTTTAAACTTTAGATTTTTCCAGCCTGGTGTGACATCTTCTGTCGGCTCAATTTTTTTCTTACTGATACAAACTTCAAAACTCAACTTTTCATTTTATTTAAATTCGTAGATTTTTGTGGAGCCACCGGCCAAAAATCCGAAAAGTAATTCCTAACTCAAACGCCCTTTAAGCCGTTTGGTTTATAGTTCTAAAAAATCATTCCTGGAAAAAATGAATAATTGTAACATCTGGATTATTTTATTGCAAAAAAAGTATTCATACAAAACGCTTAAATAAGGAATTTTGCCGATTCGTGCAAAAACTCCCATTATTATCTTGTGGGAATGTTTTTTTGAAAAAAATATATGTCCCTGGTGGACTAGGCACTGTACAACAATTTATGAACTCATTAAAAGATTAGAATCGTACAAACAAAACTAAAAGTTTAAAATCTTAAAGAAAAAACGACACTGAGGTGAAATTTACAGGCGTGTGAATCAAAGCAAACTGTAATCTCTGACGAACAACTTACATAACACATCATTTCTACCTAATTAACTACTAGTTTAGGATTCCAATTTTGCCTGAAAACTAAAACTTCTCAATTAAATCAACCTATTCAGTTTATAACATTTAATCCAAGCAAAGTACATTATCGTGTTCCTACCGAGTTCCCCAATCAAAATTTGAGGTAAATCGGTCAAAGGATTTCTGAGTTATGATCGGATATACACACAAACAGACAAACCAACAGACAGAGATAACTTCTTCATATATAATATATATACTAGACAGGGAACCCAACTTTGCCTGAAACTAAAACAGCCCTATTAAAATTAACCCCCCTCAACTTAGAACTTTAAAAACCAATGGTTCTACCGAGTTTCCCAACTAAATGAGGAAAATCGGTCATGGGGTTCATGAGTTGTTATCAGATACACAAACAAACAGAGATTACTGCTACATGTATATATAAATCTTAATACATTAAATTCAAATTTAAGTCGCGTCTCAAATTTAAGACGCGACTCAAATTCTTTAAAATCGGCCTCGCCATTCATAATTTTTGTTTATCAAATAAACTGGAATGTATAATATGAATAATATTCATTGAATATATATATCTAGGAACCCCGTTCATGTCTCTCTGGACCTGCAATGTATCGCAAACATTGGTTCCAAGGATATGGCCAAAGCATATATTGTTTGCTTACCCCCGGAACTGGAGATGGTCTAAGGTCATCTTCTGTCGTCTGACCAAACATTTCCTGTTCAAATAAAAAGTTAATAAAAATGTTTAAATCCATAATTTTTCAGACACCTATCATTTGAACGGTGCAATAACTGATAAAATATAATGACAAATATTTTTCTATGAAAGCAATTGAAGATTTTTGGACCGATTACGATATACATAGTTCTATAAGATTGTATCAACCTGATCCCTACTGGACTGTAGTTGGACTAGATTGGAGAATGGATCAGGACTATCTGTATACCTGATCCCTACTGGACTGTAGTTGGACTAGACTGAAGAATGGATTAGGACTATCTGTATACCTGATCCCTACTGGACTGTAGTTGGACTAGACTGGAGAATGGATTAGGACTATCTGTATACCTGATCCCTACTGGACTGTAGTTGGACTAGACTGGAGAATGGAGGACTGTAGTTGGACTGGAGAATGGATTAGGACTATCTGTATACCTGATCCCTACTGGACTGTAGTTGGACTAGACTGGAAAATGGATTAGGACTATCTGTATACCTGATCCCTACTGGACTGTAGTTGGACTAGACTGGAGAATGGATTAGGACTAAACATCTGGCCTCCTTCGTTAAGATTGAATCCTTTAGGAGTTTGGGAAGGAGTTATCTAAACAAATTCAATACATCCGAAACATCTTGGAAAAAAAACATATGTAGGTTCAAATGTAAAAAAAAAGTTGAAATCATCAATTGATCAAAGCTGCATTTATTAATAAACCCTCCTAAAGTAAAATTATCCCAAAATTATCTTTTCCAGAAATTCCAAGATATGAAAAAAACAGCAGGCCAGTCATTTGATTATTCATTTTCTATTAATAACAAACAAAGACAATATTAATTTCCATGTTTATTAAATCCATAGATAAGTAAATAAAAATAGATAGCTTATGTACGCAAAATCACCAAGAATTGAACAGTCCGCGAACTCATACTTCTAGGGGTCAAAGTGTACTTCAATGATAAGCTGGTTGGTTTGGTGTTTTAGTGGATTTCATAATTATTAAACTACTCAGGAGTGAATTTTATTTTGAGAATATCAAATTATCAATATATCATATTGACGAGAACTGAAGAAGGACATGAGAAGAACTAAACTAACTTAAATTTCTCTCTACAGAACTCATGTACACCACAAGTACTCAATGACATAAGAACAGCTAATGTTCACAACCGACCTAGTTCATCTATATAATGGGAATATTTTTAAAAATGAAAAATGTCGTCTTATGCGCAATCTATCTTTATCTATGATTAAATCCCTTGATGTTGGGCATCAAATCAAATAGGATTTTTAATCTCTGTGTTTAAAGGGATTATTCTTTTAATATCTGTGCTTAAAGGGATTATTTTTTTAATCTCTGTGTTTAAAGGGATTATTCTTTTAATCTCTGTGTTTAAAGGGATTAATTATTCTTTTAATCTCTGTGTTTAAAGGGATTATTCTTTTAATCTCTGTTTTTAATGGGATTAATTATTCTTTTAATCTCTGTGTTTAAAGGGATTATTCTTTTAATCTGTGTTTAAAGGGATTAATTATTCTTTTAATCTCTGTGTTTAAAGGGATTATTCTTGTAATCTGTGTTTAAAGGGATTAATTATTCTTTTAATCTCTGTGCTTAAAGGGATTATTTTTTTAATCTCTGTGTTTAAAGGGATTATTCTTTTGTTTAAAGGGATTATTCTTTTCATCTCTGCGTTTAAAGGGATTATTCTTTTAATCTCTGTGTTTAAAGGGATTATTCTTTTAATCTCTGTGTTTAAACGGATAGTTCTTTAAATTTCAAGTGACCCTCCAATTAAAGAGAATCATGTCTTCTTCACAAAGGTACCCTTAAAATAAGATTTCCATGTTTATAACTCTGAAAATTGATTATTTCGAATTTCTGTTTCAGAAACAAAAGGGAAACTTGGCAGAATTGAACAATTTAAAGTCTAGGATATTCCACATTATTGATCAGATATGGTTAAAAGGTACAGTTGTGAAATCACAACACCAATCAGATTCAGACCTGAGGTTCAGCAACAGTATCATCATTATCATCAGCATGATTAGCGTCAGTAGCATCAGCAGTGTTAGAAGAATCACTCATCCAGGGTGGACGGTACTCAGCAGGATCCAACGATTCTCTGAACATAAGAGGGTAAAATGTAGATTTTCTCGAAAAATCCTTTCCTCTCTCTCCCCTTTTGAAAGTATTTCCCCCCAAAAGTTGTAATTTTTATTTTAGGGCTTTATTGAATTTTTGAGGGAAATAAATGTTTGGTTGAAGAGCATCAAAAAGAAAGAAAAAAGTTGCCAATTTTTAGGAAAGTTTTGTTAGAAATTTGACAAGTATAACAAGCTAACGTCTGTTTTAGTTCAGTTTCTAAGAAGATAATATTTCATATAACACAAATGACATTTTTTTTAGATTAAATATTCTCAAATCAAATCACGAAATGTCCTTGAAAATTACAATGTTTGTTAATACTTAATGGTTAACTAAAAACAAAACATTAGATTAATATAAACTGCAACTTAATTGTAACTAATTGCAAATAACCAGATGGTTAATAGAGATGGAGGGGGGG